GCCGACGGTAGTGTAGCGCGAGTGTGTTTGTCGCGGCGGCGCCGGAGCGATCGTGAGGCGTCAGTCATGCTGCTCTGGTGGTTGCAGTGCGGACGATGGGCCGCCGCCGCTCGTGACCTGGCCCGGGGCGGTGTTGGGCCGCCCCGGCCGCCCGCCGGACTCCGCCGCCGCCGCCCCGCGTAGGTCTCCCGCCGCCGCCCTCCGTCCGTCCGTCCGTCTGACTGGTTTGCCTAGTTGGCCTTGCTCCCCTGTTTGCTCCCCCCAGCAGCTCTGACCTCTCTGTCACCTCCGGCTCCGTTTCTATGCGGGAATGCGGCCGACTGAGCTAGCTCCGCGCTGCCCAGGCCCGTGTAGCGTGTGTGCTGCCCGGTTTTGTCTCGACTAACCCACACCCCTATTTTCTGTCTCGTTCCAGTTCGGAAGGCACGTCGAGAGGCTGCTTCCAAGTCGAAATAAGCGTGTGTGTGCTCTGCGCTAGGTATACTAATCCGCCTTTTTCTTCCATCTAATCAATGTTTTGCCCGTTTAGTTTCGATAGCTGTCATTAGTAGCATATGTTGCGCATCTCGCTTGTTGCATGTTTAGTTGCCATTGTTACGTTTGTAGGAAGGAATTGTTTTGTTTTGTGGTGAGGCGTTTTCATGTTCACTGCCAGTCCACACTGGTTGCCATTTGTTGCGTTGGTTGCATTCCAATCTGTATATGGCACAGGTATCATTACGGAGCGAGCGAAGCGAGCGGAGTCTTTCCTTAGATTAACGGAAATTTCTGAGTATGAGCGGCCGGCCGGCCGGCCGGCCGGCCGGCCGTGCGGACGCTTTTGCGAGGCTTATATCTCAGCAACCACTTGACCGATTTACACGCGGTAATTTTTGTAGGGTAGCTTCTGATTCCTTCTACCAAGTATTGGACTATTCCCGATGCATGTGGGTGACCCCTTATGCACGTGCCACGTGCAAAACCTAGAGGTGTCAGTTTTGTAATTGTTGCAATATCTCGGTAACTACTTGGCCGATTGCGCTGAAACTTGGCATGTAGGTAGGCACCCACTAGGCACTGCATATCCATGTGCCAGAGTTGGGGTGCTGCTGCACGTGCGCACGTGCAGGGGTCGTTTCCAGATCTCGAGAACGGCTGGACCGATGGCGCTCAAATTTGGTACACGGTTAGGGACCAGTTAGTAGGGTGCCGTGCACAAGTCAGTTGGGACCCATTTTGCACGTGCGCACGTGCAGGGTGCCGCTCCCAGATCTCGAGAACGGCTGGGCCGATTGTGCTCAAATTTGGCACATCGCTAGAAACCGGTCAGTAGGGTGCCGTGCACAAGTCAGTTAGAGGTACCCCCTCGAAATTTCGCACGTGCAAGACTCACCTCCTCGCTCGCTCCGTTAGTCGCCCCAAAAGGCGCTATACTGGTTTATCCCATTGCAAAGTATGTTTTGAATGACGACTCACCCTAACAAAGCGTTTCCTTCTTACGGCGTGCCGCCGCTGGACCGGTCAGCTGTGTGGATTGACGGACCGCCTGGCTGCGCTCGCTGCCCTTCTGCTCTGGCAATCATTTTTCACTGCGAACGTAATGTTTGGCGAATCAATCCACACAGCTGCCTGCTCCAAATGGCTATGATTGTAGAATTTAAGTAGCTTTGATAGTGTTAAATTTGTCATGGTGTCCGAAATTTTGGAACTAAGAAATCAGTGCCCAAGTTTTTTTTCTAATGATTCAGAATATTATTAAAAAAAACAATGTATTTTAAAGGCATAGGTATAATTTATTTTAAGTCGCCTGTTTGTACTTCGTCTAAAATTTCCGTCTCGTTATGAGATTCTGGACCATGTATTAGTATTGTATAAGACCGCACTGAACATTATTACGAGTAACAAAAATAGGATACCTTTTTTTAGAACAGCCATGAACTAGCCTCATCAAAGGATTATGGGCGGTGCAGCTACGGTTTTTTATTTTTAGATGAAATCTTGAAAGTATTGACAAAATGGTCTGACACTATGCTCGGGGTTACATGAGCAGAGTTAATACGCATTACAAACGGACTACAATGGTGAGCGAATAGGAAAATCCGTTCCTGATACGCATTTACTTGCTCATGTAACCCCGGTATATGAGAGGTTATGTCGGTCCAAACTTGGATTACGAGTTGTATTCAACTGGTCCGAAATTGCCGTGAACAACACATTCGATGCTATGGCTGGTAACTGGTAAGCAAAATTTCGTCTTGTTCGCTGCACGGACGCGCCCCTACTGGACAGTTGGCATGAGCCCTTGATAAGCAGAACCCAAAGTTTGGTGATCGTTGCACCTGGTGATTGCTAGGATCCTGGAGCGACCCGCTAGATATGGTGCAAGTTGTATAGATCTGCATGCCACCCAGCACCTTACAGGTCAGACCAAACAGGAACACTGACGTCAGAACATAACGGCTGACACCAACCCCCTCTGCATGTTTCTTTCCATCTACCTGTCGCTGGCATGGCAGAAGCCGCTGCTCTGTCTCTCTGTCTCTGCCTTCATCTCCCTCTCTCTTCCCCGACTCTAAATGGTGACTACACTAACTCGTGCCCGTCCTGTCCGGCCCCTCTCCCCCTGGCTGGTCCCGTTTTCAGGTGGCTAAGCGGTCCCCTCTCACGGGGTCTGGTCCATTTTCAGCTGGTGGCGGTCGGTTGGAGGTTTTGTTCAGTGTCTGCTACGCGCTGGCTTGTTATCGTTTAGTTTGCCTTGTCTGGCTGGTTTTGCTTCTGCTGCCTTTTGCCGCTGCCGCTGACGCTGCCGCTGTCGGTGTTGTCTTGTGACGGCGGCGTCCCGAACCGGTGGAGGCGCCCCGCGATCCGATGGCTGAGGGTACTGCCAATCGGCTCCGAGCATGGGTAGGGCGGAAACAGTCTCATCAGATGGCTACACAGTCAGAGATCGCTCAGTGCCAACGCAGATAGCTAGCCTGAACGGTACCAAATCGAGTCACTGGTCATAAATATCCAGAAGCTCTCACACTTAATTTTGATATTCTGATTTCTGAAGCGTATCTTTGCTGGCCCATTCTGTCTGATGACATGTTTCCGCCGAAAGACAGTAGTGGGTGTCTGGTTGCTGGCGGCTGCAAAGGTTCGGTCGGTTCGCCAGCTTTGCACCACCCCTTTGGTGACTCCTTTCACAGGTGATGGTCCACTAAACACGCTCACCACGCCCGAACATCTTCCAGGAAACGGAGACAAATAACAACATTTTAGCTTTGACTTGAACATCTTCCATGACAGCTATAAGCATATAACCTGGCCATTTGTTCGATTTGGTCTCATAAATTCCCAAACCGCGACAAGGCCCCGCCCCGGTCAGGGTTTTAAGCAAATTACTCTATCCGTTCCCCGGTGACCCTGGCTCCTAGGAGACACTCTCCTGGATCACGCGCGCGATCCGCGATGACGCCAGCAGGTCTGGTCCCGGGCCAGTGCCAGCTCTCAGCCAACTATGTCTGCACACGCTGCCAAATTCCCCCCGCAGCTCGACGGAGCTCCAATTAATTCGGCCATATTTTTTATTCGCCAATGAATTATAAAACGGCAGAGGGCTGTGGCCGTAATTTAAGGCACAATGACGCGAAAAAAAAACACTTTTAAATTTCATTATGTTGCGATCATTTTGATGACCGTTATTTTACCATGTCGATATTCATGCCATTTAGTGTTCGGCCTTCCCACTGATATGAATTATGCAGTGGTCTTCATTAAAAATTTTCTGGTCTAAATCATTGAAACAGCTCTATGACTGAACACGACTGGTGTGTCTTTGTACAACAGCACCAGACCTATTGGGAAGATAGGAATGGTAGGAAGCGCAAGTAGGAAGCAAGCAATATTACTTGGGTATTAAGGTTTATGTAGGTAGTATCGTAATGTAGTTGTATCAGATTTTAAAGATCGTAGTTGGTCTTAGCGGGTGCTTTTAAAATTAGTTTCCACCGCCCCTGAGCGCATGGGCTCACAAGACCTCCGCGCGAGGTCACCGTATCATCACTGCCGACCTGACCTGACCTCCGGTACCCCTGTCCACAGTGCGACTGAGGCGCATCGGCAGGGCCTGTCGCAACTCCACTGCCGGCTTCGTCCGGCGCCAGCTGCCGGTGTAGACGGCGGCGTCCAGCGCCGGCGCCCCGGGCGTCCGTGGGGCGCTCCCAGTCCGGCGCCCCGGCGCCCGCGGGGCGCTCCCAGTCCGGCGCCCCGGGCATCAGCGGCGAGCACCCAGTCCGGCGCCCGCGGGGCGCTCCCAGTCCGGCGCCCCGGGCATCAGCGGCGAGCACCCAGTCCGGCGCCCGGGCATCAGCGGCGAGCACCTTATGTAGTGGCTCCTCCTCTCGCTTGGCTTCTCTCCGCGGCGGTGGCGACCGGCCACCGGGCCGGCCGGCCGCCCGTGTCGAGAGCGCGCGCTCGCGCCGCCCGCCGGCCGCTTTCCTTGTACGATGCGCCGCCGTCGGGCGATGTGACTTGATGTTTTTACTTTTTACACATACTTTGCCGGGTGGTATAGCTGACGTGGGCCTTGTTTGGATGCGCGGACTCCCGGGCAGAGGCCCCATTTTACAGAGGACTCCGATGACACGTAGTCGCCGATGCAGCCTCATATTTTGTTTGCGAAATGAAAGTTTAGGACCTAGGTGCTTGTCCGAGTGGAATGGTATTTATGGATTTATTTGTATCAAATAAAATGTGCAAAATTGAATTTGTGTACTATCGTGCCGTGTGCGGTGACTGACAATGGTTGGTTGGATGAAATGCTGTTGGTATGTCGTGTAGGAAACGTATGCCACGGCAGTTGATCGTGCTTCTATCGTTCAATGTCGTCTGGTTACTCCATGTTGTTACCCCTGTTCTAGAGAAGGTCGATACCTTCGACGTTTGTGATTGAAAGTGTGGAGACGTCGTTGGCCTAGCTAGTTAATCGCTGGATTGGGTGTCCTAACTTCAGTAGGTACACCAGTAAACCGAGTGAACAGATGGCATTTCAATGTAGTACGACTTACACCATCGTCAGCAAGAAAAGGGTAACAGGATACGACAAAGGAACGATCACACGCAGAAAACAACTAGAATTGCGTGACATAGCTTCGCACAGCCAACTTCAAACACAAATCTAGGTAATGTTCGCACTGGAGCCGTGACGCATACGGGCTCGTGTGTCTTGTTCATATCGAGATCAGGAAGCCAACCTCGATGGGGCGGCGATGTCGCGGAACTTCACGCGGCCATCAGATGTTGTTGGGCGACTGTGGAACGCCGGGCGACGCGAACAGCTTGGCGAGCAGCGAGGTCTGGCGCTGGCCGGTCTGCTGGGGGCTGGTGGCCATCGGCAGACTGTCGCCGCCGCCGGCCGACGCCGCCAGCTCGAACGGCCGCGACCGGCGCACCACGTCCATGTAAGGGCTGCAGGAGGGTGCGGCCGCCGCCTGAGGCGAGTCCCGACACATGGGCCGCGAGCTCACCATGCCGCTCAGGAAGCCCGGCGAGTTGCGGGGGCTCTTGCGAGCCTGCATCCCAATCAGCTGCTGCTCCAGCTGCTGACAGCGCTTCTCCAGCTGCTGGCACCGCGCTTCAAGCTGACTGTTTGCGCGAGCGTTCAGCTGGTGAGCACGAACTTCGTTCCGTAAATGCTCCATGAGTCGCTGTCTGTGGCCGTTCTGGAAATCACTGACGGTCTGCATTTTCTGCGCGGCTTGTGTGAACGATGCTAAACAGCGGCGCGCCAGCTCCATCGGGTTGGTGAAGAACACCTCTACATCTGGCTTCATTTTCGATGACAGCGGTATCATTTTGCAATTGGACTGACAAACTTTACATTTTTCGTTGGCGCAAGCCATGCAACATTGGGCACAGAACACATGACCGCAGCTGGTAAGCAAAAACCGGCGCTTTTCTTGACCACGCTGCCCGGGCTGGACGTAACAGCCATTACAGTGTATCCAATCCATTCCTTGAACTATAACAGGACAGGTCAGATCCTGATCAGATAGGTAATGTGTTGGTACCTGACTCTACGCTATACGTAACTTCCAAGGACCGTGAGTTGTGACCGAAAACGGTCTCAGTCCGGCAACATTCACTTTGTCTTAGGTTCTTTCCCTTACAAATTACAGTACGTTTCCTAGCAGCTGAAACGTGAGGTTCCACATGTAAGACCAAGGCTGTAAGACTGATAAAAGTGGCTCTACCATTTATTTACGCGCTATGAAAATGGATCAAATATTTGCATACGAGCATTATGTTTGTTTACAAACGAATGTTGGCTCTCATAAATGGAAGCAAATAACCTTCCCATGAAGGTAATGCCATTTCCGTTGCCATTTACCCTAAAACCGTGCCTCATCGCAAAAAAATGAAAGCATTATCAGCGAATATAAGTATGACAGAAAATATTTTTTCAGACTTTCAAGATGTTTTACAACTCAGTAGGCCTAAAACTCAGCTATCGAGTGGTTATCGATAATAAATTGTAAAACCAAAACGAAGGTAAAACTTCATCGTGTGATGTGTAATAAGTGCCATATCATGCGGCGTTCATGAAGCTTTTGAGACGCTCAACAAAGCTCTATTTTAAGGGCGACTTCACATTACAGCCCTAGTAAATAAAAATTGTAACAAACTTGGTAGTTTTTTGGTTATGAATTGCATTAGAATCAAGGTCAGAATAGTAAAACTGTAGAAGAGAATTCTTTTATTGAACTCAAGTTCAAAGAAACAGTATATTTACGTTAGTTATAAAAAACATTAGGTCAACGACCGCTGCTGAATTTCTCCCAACTTGTCAATGTGAACGTAACTTAAAATTTTCATCGAGGTTGACCACAAAACTGAAAGTTTAGTTCCTCGCCTACTTCCGGGTCGTATGCAAGTTTACGATTGAATCCCGGGTGTGGTTCAGGGTAAAAGTAGTGTTCTCTGGCTTTTCTACTAATTTTACATATTGGCTAACTGCTAATTATATTAACCTTTATAAACTGGTTAGCACTTTGCACATACAAGCACAGCCAGTTTCTGCGGTGCCATCTCAATGAGGTAAGTTGCATTTAACTGTTAACTTTTCCAGTCCTGTTGACATATAAATGTGTGCATAATATTTTCTTATACATCAGTATGGCCTTCTAATGATGTCTCTCATAAGTTGATTTGCCTAATGGCATTTTGTAACGGCTGACTAAAGCGACCGAGCAACCGAGTGGTTTTGGTTTGGTTACTATTTTAGCATGCTGTTATTTCTTTGGTTTTCATTGGTTGAGTTTTCATGTTCTGTAAGGTTGACTAATGGTAGACCAAGAAACTTTGGCAATAAAATTCCTTATTTGGCAAAACTGGCTGCATGCTATTGCTCATAAACAAAACAGCAACCAAACAGTGTTGATGTTGACCAGTTAAGTCATGCTTTGGTAAGAGTGATTAGTTAGCTTGGTCTAAAAATTGTCAATACGATTAAATGTGTGCCACATTTTCTTAAGGCACATTGACATGACTCTCTCTATTAGATTATGTGCATGTTATACAAATTAACTAATTTCTGAAGAGGGGATGTCCACACCTGTACTTGATTGGCCTGTTGTGTCTGCTTCAGTGGATGCTTGTGAGTGAGAGTGACTGTTACTGATTGCATGGTAGGGGTGGGGTGAACTGTGAAGTAGAGGTGTCTAGTTAGCATTGAGACAGTTCATAAGCTTGTTGAGAGGGTGTCCGTGCCTCTGACAATGATAAATGGTGGCCATGGCAGGCAGTTCCAACTGTTGATGACTCTGACCAACAATGGGTGTTGATGGATGTGAGTGATGGCCATTTGTGATTTGGGTAGGACATATCTATATGATGTAAATGTGACTTAACAATTACCTCCTGAATCATTACAGAGTGTTTGATAAGCTCTACACTGGTTGTAAAGGTAGAAGGTGTACATAAGTATTTGGTGTACATAAGGTGTACATAAGTCACATAAGTGTACATAAGCCATACAAGGTGTACATAAGTCAGCTTTCACTTCTAAGCACCCAGCCCTGTTAGCAACAAGTATTATAATTGCATGGTATATGGTATTCCATATCAATTTTCACACTTCTTGCTAAAAAAGCATCATCAAACCTTGCCTAATCAACCAAAAGCATACATAATTTCAACTTACATGACCTTTACATAACCACAACACTTACATTATAACCTACTTGATGCCCTCTTAAGGCCTAACACCTATCGGACATTGCAGCTTAGATGGACAGGTCGTTTTATTGAAGTTTGCCAGTGGATCATGCTGCCACCTAGACACTTGCAATATTCACAACTCAAGGCTACAAATTTTAAGAGACAAGCCAGGTGCTGGATATATGCTCAGTTGCTGGGTTATTAATGTCACATATTTCATTAATAGTGAGCACCTAGGGGCTAGGGCAACCTGGGGGCTGGGGCATAAGCTACTCATTCAACAGTTATGAATGAATTTATATAGATAACAATAAATAGGTGGGCATTTTCTCATGACCAAAGGACAGGTAACAAAAACACCTCCCCCATATTGAGTTCATGAGTCATGATATTCTGGTCATCCAAATGCACAATGCCCACACCCACACCATGGTGTGAAGCTGCTGGAACCCAAAGGCCAAGCCTAGCAGCCGTGAAATGCCTTGAGCAAATGACAAGTTTGAAGGAAGGTAGATGGGCAGGTCCTTTTAATGAGAAACAGGCATGGTAGTTCCAAGCTGCAAAATATGTTACCTGCCTAATTTTGATCAGATCTTGTGGGATTCAGCAATACAGGTGGTGATGTAACATTGTCAACAATCGTTTTGCAACAGAAGCTTGACTTGACATCCAGTATACCAACAAATATTTTCTGACAATGTTAACCCTCCATTAATGTGAACTTACGAAGTTGGGCAAGCTATGGCATTTAAAAGTAATGGTTTTGGGAAAGGGTGGTGCAAAGTAAAACGTGGATATGAGCGTGATGTTGGGTATTATCCAATCGTTTTTCTGATCAGACCACACAACTCTTTATCGCCCATCTTTTCATTGTCAGCTGCTCCTGATCTCTGTTTACCCACTCCAGTCTGAGCTCTCTTATCTTGAGCTACTGGGCACGCTTCTGATATGTGTTGTACGCCACGCATCACCACTCACCACAGTATCATCGAGGGCTAATGGTGGCATTTCTTGCCTGATAAAAGACGCTAGACAAATGTGAACTCGTATGAGTCATGAACTCCTATCCTAACATCTAGATTCCAGAGTTCCACATTCATGGCTATCATGTGTCTTCTACCACGTGGGATGATCGTGCTATGCAAGCGACATCCTGCAAGTTGTATTAAACTAGTAACTACCGAGCATCACAGGTGTCCGCGTCGTAAAAAAATGGCTTTTGTAGGATTTTATATTTACTGGATAGGCACTTGCGCTCGTTTTTTTTATTAGTCGCTCTATTTGATGATCCTGTTGTGGTCGGCGTCGTGGATGTAACAATAACTTACACCAGTAAAACGCCTTTTGGGCGAAGAACGAGCGAGCGAGATAGTGAGCCCTGCACGTGCAGAAGGGCGAGAAGGTACTTCCAACGGGCTTGTGCAAAGCACCCTTCTAACCGGTCGCTAGCGGTGTACCAAATTTGAACGCAATCGGCCCAGCCGTTCCTGAGATCTGGAAGCGGCATTCTGCACGTGCGCACGTGCAAACGGGGTCAAAAATGACTTTTGCACGGCACCCTACTAACCGGTCCCCAACCGTGTACCAAATTTGAGCGCAATCGGCCCAGCCGTTCTCGAGATCTGGAAACGCCCCCTGCACGTGCGCACGTGCAGTACCACCCTAACCGCAACACATGGGAATGCATTGCCTGGTGGGTGCCTACCTGTATGCCAAGTTTCAGCGAAATCGCCCCAGTAATTACCGAGTTACTGAAATGGGAACAAATTTGGCACCTCTTATTGTTGTATTTTGCACGTGCAGTGGGGGTCACTCACATAGATGAAGAGTATCCGACCTTTGGTAGAAGGGATGCAGCTACCCTATAAAAATGACCGCAAGACAATCGCTCAAGCCGCTGCTGAGATATGAGCCTATCAAAATCACTACTTTTGCAAAACAGCTTGAACACCCTTGACTTTTCACGTGGCACGTGCCACGACGGTCACTGAGATGTGTCAAAAGTAGTCAATTACGGGGTAGAAGGGATGGGGCTACCCAGCAAAAAAGACCGCAGGCAAGTCGGTCCAGCGGTTGCTGAGATATAAGCCTCTCAAAAGCGTTACAGGCCGGGCCGGGCCGGGCCGGGCCGCTCATACTGAGATTTTTCCGTTATATTGAAAAGACTTCGCTTCGCTCGCTGCGCTCGCTCGCTCGTAATAATTTGTGTGATTTGTCAATAATGTTGACTATCAACTGATAAATGAACTAGCACTGCACTGTACCTATTCCGACAATCATCATTCCAGCCATTTACATATATTTGTATTGGCTACGAATGTTAATGATTGAGCGATTTACCGATAGCTGTCTCCTTCCGGATCCGGACGATGTTACATTTGTGATTTGTTCTTTATCTTCTGCCTTGTCATTGACGTGCGTCTTTTGTTGCAGCTGACGGCGGCACAGGTTGAAGCTGCCAGCCGTCAATAGGCTCTGTGTAAACGGTCGAGTGTGAGACTATTCCCCGGCCGTGGCGGACCCCCGCCGGGCCATGAGCGCCGTCTGAGGAGAGTGCCGCCGGTGTGACCCGTTCGGTGCTCCGCGCGCGCCACCATGCCCGTCTCGGACGACATTCTGCCGCGGTACCAGCGGCTGCCGGGCGGCAACGGCGGCCGGCCGTTCCGCTGCCGCGAGACGCACCTCTTCTTCGCCATCGGCGCCACCATCCTCATCATCTGCTTCGGCACCATCTTCTTCATGCCGGACCTGAGCGAGAGCCTGCGGCGCATGGAGAGCCTGAGTCGGGTGCAGAAACAGGTGCGCGACACGGCCGAGGGCTTCCTGCTGCCGCCGCCGCCGCACGCCGAGCCGGACGCGGTCGGTGCCGCTCCGCCGCGCCACGCCGGCCAGATCGAGGACCCGCACCTGGCGCAGGACCGGCAGAAGCTGTACGAGAAGGTGCGCTCGGCGGGCGGACTGCCGCCTCCACCCCTGGCCAAGCCGCGGCAGGGCGCCGCCGCCGCCGACGCGCCTGCCGACGCCGGCGATGCCGATAATGTGGATGTGGACGAGCCGCTGCCTGCGGCCGCGGCGGCTGCCGTGCCCGGCGCGGGGACCAACAAGCGCGCTCTGCCCGAGGGGGAGGACAGCGACCCCGTGATGCGCCAGCGGCGGGATACGATCAAACAGGTCAGTCGGTGCACACTGCACACGGGGCGGGGAACGACCGGATGCACTACGCTCCAATGGGTTCCGGGTCGGATGGTGTACGGGTGGGTGGGGCGGAAACGACACACAGCTGCACGGGGCATGACGTCCGCCATGGCCCCGTCACGTAACATAATGCTGTTATTAGGGATATGAATTGGTGCATAGTGATTTTCCTGTCAGTCAGCAGCATGGACCATTTGAGGCACACTGATGACATCACGGGCACTGAAAGCTGTTAACCATTGTCCTGCGAGAGGAAAGCTAAAATGCCTGACAAAATCGTCGTCGAATTGGGAGTATGCCAGTCGCCGGGCTTGTTTGAGATATAACTACCAGTATAGCGCCTTTTGGGGCGACTAACGGAGCGAGCGAGGGGTTGAGTCTTGCACGTGCGAAATTTCGAGGGGGCACCTCCAACTGACTCGTGCACGGCACCCTAATGACCGGTTTCTAGCGATGTGCCAAATTTGAGCACAATCGGCCCAGCCGTTCTCGAGATCTGGGAGCGGCACCCTGCACGTGCGCACGTGCAAAATGGGTCCCAACTGACTTGTGCACGGCACCCTACTAACTGGTCCCTAACCGTGTACCAAATTTGAGCGCCATCGGTCCAGCCGTTCTCGAGATCTGGAAACGACCCCTGCACGTGCGCACGTGCAGCAGCACCCCAACTCTGGCACATGGATATGCAGTGCCTAGTGGGTGCCTACCTACATACCAACTTTCAGCGCAATCGGCCAAGTAGTTACCGAGATATTGCAACAATTACAAAACTGACACCTCTTCGTTTTGCACGTGGCACGTGCATAAGGGGTCACCTATATGCATCGGGAATGGTCCAATACTTGGTAGAAGGAATGAAGCTACCCTACAAAAATTACCGCGTGTAAATCGGTCAAGTGGTTGCTGAGATATAAGCCTCGCAAAAGCGTCCGCACGGCCGGCCGGCCGGCCGGCCGCTCATACTCAGAAATTTCCGTTAATCTAAGGAAAGACTTCGCTCGCTTCGCTCGCTCCGTAATTATGAATGGTGGGACTGCTTTCATATTACGCAAAAACATGCAGTCTTGCATGTTTCAAAGCCGACGAAAACAATGACTGTGCAGTTATGCGTGCAGTGTATGCCATTCTTCATTGATCATGCGTGCACGGTGAGCGTCTCACATTACCTTCAGTTGGGCGGTAATATATATTACTGTATGCCTGGCCTATTCAAATACATTAGCAAGAGGGGTGTGGTAATAACTGGTGTAAGCAAATTGACCACGGTCAAAAATGCATTACCAGAATGCACTTAAGCCAACATTTTGGGATGGTCTCGTTCCTAAGTCGGCTAAGAGCTTCGGTCCAGAAAATAAATTTATCGTTGGCATACAGTAAAATACATACCAAACTCGGCCGGTGATAAATTTTCAAGACCTCAGTCCTTACTGATTTTTGAACTCGGCCTTCGGCCTCGTTCAAAAATCCAGTAAGGACCTCGGTCTTGAAAATTTATTTACACCGGCCTCGTTCAGTATTATATATTACTGACCGGGCCGACGAAATTATTTGGAAACGAGGTTTGCAAAATTGACGTAGGCCCGAGTGCGAAGCACGAGGGCCGGAGTCAAATTTTGCAAACCGAGTTTCCAAATAATTTCGTACGGCTGAGGTCAGTAAGATTTTTCCTACATGCCGCATACCTGCTAAGTAGTTTCGACAGGTTTTGGTGACACTTTTATACAATTGTTTTGTCCATAATTTCCAAACAGTGATTGCGCTACTGCTGCGGATAAAGATTTGAAGGAAATTTATAGAAGAAAATGCATCAAAATACCTCACTTCAAAAAGAATCTCGTCTGAAAATATCAACCCAGAATGGCACCACAATTGGATATCCTAGGAACATCATACATGAATAATTTGCCACGACATAAGAACAAGAAGAAGGTAGAATGTATAATATTTCTAGTGATTAAACGTGAATTTTCCAGTGTTCTTGCAAGAATCTTTTCTTTATTTATGTAATCGTACTTTGCTGATGCCCTATGGCTAAACTTTCGTGAAATACATTATATTTTCCATATTTTACATGTTTGTTTCGAGGAAAGGACTACAACTGTCAAATAATAACGCAATAACTCATGCCCAAGGTATCAGTGGACATATCAAACGAAGATAAGACAACAAGCGATAACGGATTTCGATTAGGTAATAGGCGCATATCTTAACATAATTTCGGCTTTGTAACCAATACAAAGCATTTCAAAACCCTTGATAAGCAGAGCAGAGATTTTTTTTACCAAAAAAGTTAGTTTTCTAATTTTACGCGGCAAATATCATGCAATAATGATGCCAATTATACATTCCCTATCAATTATACCTCTGGGCTAGTGTGATAAACTGTAGTTTAGAGGTCATTGCCCTGGGCAGTAAACCCGGGCAGTAAACTTTTGTTTCCTGCCCGGCCTATCAAATAACATGGCAATTTGACACAGACAGTTTCTTGGTCATAGTTTTACTGCCCGGCTCGTGCTGTGCTTAAGACATACCCCGGCATGTAGGAAACATTTATGAGGAACATGGTTTTGATGCCTGCTTGGGCTGGTGGTTTGCTGGAATTATTCGTACTACCCGTTGATAATTAACATTCACGACAGAATGTGACACGACAGTTGATTGCTGAGCGTCTGAGTGTAGCAACACAATATTGATTGTATCTTTTTGCGATTAAACGCTAGCTAGTTTTTGCATTGCTTACTTCCACTTAAAAGACAACTCAGGTAATAGTTAAAACACTATTTTTATAGATTCTCTTACTTTTGAATGTATTAACTCGTTCTCTCTGAGGATTTAGTTTTGGTTCTTGTCGGTATCCGGATTAAATGTCTCATATTTCGTAATTAATGCTGGCCTTGCCCCGGGATTCCAGACTACGTAATTATGGAAGTCGCGTGTGGTATGCAGTATCTGACAAATGCCATATAATTCCTTGTGTAAACTGGGTTAGTGATGTTTTGGCAGTGCCCTTGAGCCCAAAGGTAAAGATACGTGGAGGGATTTTCCTATCTCCTGGCCCCGCCGCCTACTAGAAGTGGTAGCATGCTGCTAAGCTGAGCGATAACAGCTCTGTAAAGATTAGGATACGATTAAATGGGAGAAGGTTCCTTCGTGTCGTACTGCATGGATACAATATCAGTCCCTTGATAGCCTTCGTTATTTGTTTTCAGCAGGCTCCGGGGATATTTGACTTCGTCGCCAAAAGTTCAGCTATTTATTAATAAGGAACCGTTTGCTCTTATTTTGGTTTAAGTAGCCTATGCCATTTTGCTCAAGGCTTAATAGAGTCTCAAGCTAGATAATTGAGTCCCGGCTTCAGTACACGGGTCACGGGCTTGCATCGCCGTCACCGTCACAGGGCTTCCGTTCGTCACACAGTTCCCATGACAGGTCCACCATGTGTGTCACAGTCCGCGCCGCATGTCACAGGCTCACATCCCTGTCACTCCCTCCACAGCCCACAGCCGTGAGCCGCGCGCCTCTGCCTCGTGCACGCCTTCGGCTTCCATTGTGTGCGTCGGAGCTTTTACTGACACCACCTGTCCCGCGCCCTGTATAACGAGCTCTGTCGGTGATAACGGTATCTATTCCGAGTGTATTCATGAATGGCGCCCGCTCTATTTCCCCGCATTTCGCCGTGGGAATATAGGTTACAGTAGCGATGGTGATTAGAGTATTATCGCCGCATGTTTCCCAAGGTCGGCTCTCGGAAGCCCGCGGCTGTATCAGTGCCTATTTACCGGTACGTGACTCGCGTGACCTTTGTATCCACAGCACACACAAACAGCCAGCGGGGATAGCCGTCAGTCGTATTGATAAGTCGTGACTCATTTCACACACACAACTCAGGCTCACTGACCCTCGCTCATTGTCACCCACAGATGATGCAGCACGCGTGGAAGGGTTACGCGACGTACGCGTGGGGCTCCAACGAGCTGCGACCGGTGAGCAAGCGCGGCCACTCGGCGGGCATCTTCGGCAACCGTCCCATGGGTGCCACTATTGTCGACGCCATGGACACGCTCTACATAATGGGCATGGACGCCGAGTTCGAGGAGGGTCGCCGATGGATCGCCGATCACCTAGATGTCAGCAAAATGGTAAGTGTGAGGGGATCAGAGAAAGAAGGGGAGGGGTCCAACAGTCGTTGCTGTGCTGTGGGAGACCGTGCTCTGTTGTTGATGATAGTCGTAGTGTAGGTAATAGGTAGGAGGTATTGCTTGGTGTGCGGAAGTTGCATCTCAGATTCATTAGTCCTAATTCCTATTTCCTATTGCCTTATATGTAGACTCTGCAATGTAGCAACCAATGCCTGTTTTGCAGTCACTATAAAGAACAGGATGATATTGATGCTCGTGGTGGTATCCCTGCACCACCGAATTAAAGCTACTATCAGTCATCAGAACATGAAGCTGATCTTGAGCATCGCCTTCTTTATCCCAAGTTCCGTCCCAGTCCTTGCCTGCAAAACACCACACTTCATCCTATAATCACGGCACTTAATTTTGATCTCCGCGAGTTAGCTGGCCGACGTGGCTGAGCGGAGCCAATTGATTGAGCCTTCAACGCGCATCCGCGGCCGCGGCGGGCCCCTCTGCCGGTCGCCGCAGCGGCTGCAGAACGCTTTGGCGGCGCCACACTGCCGGGACTGTACATCACATAACGGTGGTGTTTATGGCACGACTTTCAGGGCCTATTGTGGGTGGAGTTTTTGGATGTGGTATCGGACGGGCAATAGCGGTTTTCATGAGTGGGATGCCGTGATGGGTGTGACAGTCGCGGTAACTGTAGAATCGAATTGAAGGTGTGGCGGGTGTAGCGGTAGCCTTGTATTTTTTTCGAGTACGTCATCAGCTGAGTTAGAATGTTATGCCGAGCGTCATATGCAACGGTAACCTCACTTTAAATTGTATATTTTATTTACCACTGATGTCAATCTCGCCAGTTCATAGTCCCGCCTTATCGCTCACATTATCGGCCTTCCCCGCTATCTCCTACTCCCCCTGGCCCCTCCCCTTTCTCATCCCGTGACATCACCGTGACGTCATCACCGTGTGACCGCGCCCTCCGGCAGGACTCTGAGGTGTCCATATTCGAGATGAACATCCGCTACGTGGGCGGCCTGCTCTCCTGCTACGCGCTCACGGGCGATACGATGTTCCGCGACAAGGCGCTCGCCATCGCGCACGCCATGCTGCCCGGCTTCAACACGCCCACCGGCATCCCGTACAGCCTGGTGGTGCCCACCACTGGCGTAAGTGGCGCGCGCGCCGCGGCACTTTAATGACACCTGCTCGTATTGACCGATACTTAAAACGTACTGTGTGATGGCTATTCAAGTTCCAGTTGGTTGAGTGCTGCTCATTCTTTGTTTTGTATCGATTTGGAAACTCTGGGTATGTGCATATGGAACACAATATCGCTAATGCACTGCCGACTGCCAAGTTTACATATTACGGAGCGAGCGAAGCGAGCGCAGCTTTCCTTAGATTAACGGAAATTTCTGAGTATGAGCGGCCGGCCGGCCGGCCGTGGTCACGATTTTGCGACGCTTATATCTCAGCAACCACTTGACCGATTTACACGCGGTAATTTTTGTAGGGTAGCTTCATTCCTTCTACCAAGTATTGGACTATTCCCGATGCATGTGAGTGTGAGAGTTTTGCACGTGCCACGTGCAAAACGAAGAGGTGTCACTTTTGTAATTGTTGCAATATCTCGCTAACTACTTGGCCGATTGCGCTGAAAGTTGGCATGTAGGTAGGCACCCACTAGGCAATGCATATCCATGTGCCAGAGTTGGAGCGCTGCTGCACGTGCGCACGTGCAGGGGTCGATTCCAGATCTCGAGAACGGCTGGACCGATGCCGCTCAAATTTGGTACATGGTTAGGGACCGGTTAGTAGGGTGCCGTGCAAAAGTCAGTTGGGACCCATTTTGAACGTGCGCACGTGCAGGGTGCCGCTTCCAGATCTCGAGAACGGCTGGGCCGATTGTGCTCAAATTTGGCACATCGCTAGAGACCGGTTAGTAGGGTGCCGTGCACAAGTCAGTTGGAGGTACCCCCTCGCAATTTCACACGTGCAAGGCCACCCTCTAGCTCGCTCCGTTAGTCGCCCCAAAAGGCTTTATACTGGTTTACTTTATTTGTGGTAGATTAGTCAATAACTTGTTTCGATTCTCACTCTTAATGTCATTATGACGCCTTGATTGGTTTACATGTGTGCTAACAGCACCATTTTGCCTTTGTGATCGTAAATGTGTCTGACCTTCCCGCTTATATGTTTTCGACCTCTCGGTACGTCCTATTCTCACCTAAACCATCCGTCCTGTCGCCTCTGCTGACAGCGCGCCAAGAACTACGGCTGGGCTTCGGGCGCCAGTTCGATTCTCTCCGAGTTCGGCACTTTACACATGGAGTTCAGCTATCTCTCGGACGTCACTGGAGAGCCAGAGTACAGGAAGAAAGTGGAGCGAATCCGACAGGTGCTCAACGGACTGGAGAAGCCCAACGGACTCTACCCCAACTACCTGAACCCCAAGACGGGCAAATGGGGACAGCGTGAGTACAGGGGAGGCGTGGCTGGAATGGCGCAGGGGTGGTTTGACGACCGGGGGACTGGCTGACTGAGTAGTGTGTGCACTGTACAGTGTATCAGTTGCTTTTATCTGACTTCTTAGTTTTTGCTTGAGACAGGTTTTATACATTTTACAGCGGGTGCAATGCAATTCTCTGCTATGAGTTGGATTCGGGCCTTTTCTTTGCCTGATTAGATGATTGTCAGCAGTGTTTTTGATATTACATTTGTCCCACATACATTGTTTTACCTTGTACTGCCTACAATAATATTTACGATCACGTATATAGCTGAATAGTGTAGGGCCCACAGTAGGGCCGTCATCCCCACTGACTGACCACCCTCTCGACCACAGGTCACGTGTCGACGGGCGCGCTGGGCGACTCGTTCTACGAGTACCTGCTGAAGGAGTGGCTCCGCTCCGGCCGTCGAGACACCGAGGCCCTCACCATGTTCAGACACGCCATCGGCAACATCACCGAGCGAATGCTGAAGAAGTCCAAGGTGTCCGGTTTGACCTACCTGGCCGAGGTGCAGTACGAGCGGCCTAACCACAAGATGGACCATCTCGCCTGCTTCATCGGTGAGCGAGCTCTTCGGGAGGGACGAGAATGTCTGGTGTTCTGTTATATTGATTCATGAGGTGTTGCGCGTAATATTAAAATTAAAGTTTCGTTTAACGAGTTTCTTCTGATCTTTTTTTTTAAATAACATGCCGCTGCATTACGAGTGGCACAGAAGCAGTAAACTTCCGATTGGATCGATTCCCAATGTTCTTGAACACCCGTCTATTTGTTATGGTTGCCTTATCGGTCAACAGATAACCGTCATCCAGACCAACCGTACTTCCTTTGTGTAGCTAGCCCGCTATTTATTGTTCTTATACGGCCTCTCTCATAACTACGCCTTTTTCATACTCCTGCCGTCCAGCCCTTCTGACTGTTTTCCATCAACTCCTTTTGCGTTTTGCTGGGTTAGGCCCTTTTGGTCTAACGAGGCCACTCTTTTTGCATTCATTATGGTAGTCTATACATGCCGCATTGTAACGGTGTCAAGCTTGGTCACTTCTCACGGGAAGCGTACCGGTTTTCTTTCCCCCAGTGAACTCTCACTGTCCGGTGACTGGCGGTACAGTTGCCCTATATTTGCTATCCGGCGCTAGCCGCGTTTCCCAATAATATGGGTCGGTATGTGTTCACTTTCTGTTGGTGTAACACGCGACGGGACCCCAGTCCGCTGGCGGTCGCCACTCTCCGGTCGGCACGCGGTGGCCTGTGTCGATATTGGCTCCGACCGGTACACACGCCACCCAATAGTCGGGTCAATGTGGCCATGACTCCGCGCCGTACGACCGGCGGCGCCCCTCTCATACACAGACCCGGCCGGGCCGCCCTCCCGCCGTGGCGTCAGCACAGCTGAAACTATGACCGTTCAGGCGCCCGGTGGCGCATGGGGCTGTCGTTTTCCCGGTCATTATAAACTACGTGACTGTGCACTCCTGGCATTTCATTTCCACCTTTACGGGTTGTTTATGGGTGGCTTGTGACGCAGTAGTAATACGTAGATCGTAGTTGTTATAATTGATGACCGGTCAGGTTAGGTGAGTGTGCGCTGGCCGATTCGTTGCCTGCTCCCTGTGGACCCGTGTTTGCCCGCGGGTAACCCCTGGTCGCTCTATCGACTCGGTACTGAGTGGACCGGGCGGTGGCGTGACCGGTCGCCCCCCCCCCCCCCGCCGCCGGCCGCTCGCGTGTATGGTGTGACGACTAACGGACTAACGGATCATCCGGGGATGGTCAGATGGTCATAGCTTGACGGCCTCGGTTTGAATCAAGTGATAATAGAACTCGCGAACAAAGCTGGCAGATTGCATATCGTTTTGATAACATTTGAAAGACGCATTTTTTACCACCTGCCATTATTATTGTAGTAAAGTTCAATTTAAACTGATACATTCTGCTTGTGCTTATGCCTGGTCATTTGAGGTTAATGTAATAATCTTTCCTAAAACGAGGTGTCATAGTGAAGGACATAGTCATTATGCCGTTATAATGCAGTTCGCTGCTTGTGCTTATGGACGTGTGACGGTCCTACAGGAAACGCCTAAATGCATCCGTTGCTTGCAGGGGTTTATGGTCCATTGAACAGAATCAAGAGCTTCCCACCCCGAATAGGCTCAAAATGATCTCAGCAGTCAGTGCGCCTAAACCCCAATAAAAACATCCACCCTGAGAAATAACAAGCAACCCAGACATCGACGCCATTGTTGCATTAACCGTCCATATTTATTTTCATGCAACTCTGCCCATCCGATTCCCAAGCTTTACATCACTGTGTGCCACGCTGATTTCCAAGACCGGACGTATGGATGATAGCTGCTCCTGGCGCGCTCGGCCAGAGACCGGATCTCCCTTCCGTGGCCAATCTGGCGCTGTGAGAAGTCCAGCGGGGCCGGGGAAGCACTGCGCACTTGATTCGGTGCCAATGTGTTGGTATAATGGGAAATGGGAATGTGCTATGCAAGCACATTCCCATTATATGAAGGTCAGGACCTTCATACCCCCCCCCCCCCCCCCCCCCCCAGTCGCTAATGTATCCACGCCATGCGTCCTCCGCCGTCGCTGCATCCCGGTGTTGGTGTAGGTATAAGCATTACTGACTATTCATATCTGATGTCTATTTGCCGCATGTTGTATGTGATGGCCTGGACGTGTCAGAAGCTGATGTCGGTCAGCCAGATGACCTTAGCGCTTCTGTAGCTGATGTGTGTCTGTTTTTCCCACAGGTGGCCTGTACGCACTGGCCGGTGTCACGGACAAGAACAAGGATTCGGCGCGGTACATGGAGATTGGTGCCGAGATCACCAACACGTGCCACGAGTCGTACGACCGCACCGCCACCAAACTGGGGCCGGAGAACTTCAGGTACGACCGGCCGACGCCAGGGGCTCTACCGGCTGCCTCGCCTTGGGCACTGGTTTTTAGTTGGGAATAGGCTTTGGGAGCTTTAGAACCACGATTAGTGAATGCACACAATTTTGCTCTTGTCGCTAGGCTTATCACTGGTGCTAATGTTTTATTGACTCAGTTCACCTCCAACCAACTACAACCAACTTGACTGACTCCAACCAACGCCTTGTCCCGTGGCGCACCGATCGTTGCGTCTGTTCAATGCGTCTGGCGTCTTTTCTGCCCTTCAATCACCCCTGACAACTGATGTCATTTTCCGACAAACGTTACCCTCTACCTCCTCCCTGAAACAACTGTCGACCTCTGCATGTCCTTAGAGATGTACTAACCTCTTCCTCACTCCGGATGAGTCCTTGCCTCTCCCTTTCCCCCCTCCTCCAGCTGCCTCTTTGGCAACTGCTGGCCTCTGCTACCCCTCGGAGCACTTTATTTACTGACCGCTGCCCTCCGTCACCACAGATTCTCCGACGCCATCGAGGCGAAGGCCATGAAACTGCAGGAGAAGTACTACATCCTGCGTCCGGAAGTCATCGAGAGCTACTTCGTCCTGTGGCGGCTCACGGGCGACCCCAAGTACCGCGAGTGGGGATGGGAGGCCGCGCAGGTGCGTTCAGATGGGGCTGGGAGGCTACGTAAGGGATGGGCAGATGGAGATGGGTGCCCAGATGGGACTGTGAGGTAGGAACTAGTCAAATGACACTGTGAGGTCGGCTAGAGATGTGGGTAGGGCATAGTCCGGGGATGTCTAAGTGGGACTGGAAGGCTGAGGTCACGAGTTTGTTCATTGAGTTTGACTCTTGATGAAGCAGCGCTACACTTGTCTTGTTCCAATGCTCACCGTCTCAGCGATGAGTGGACGTTTCGAATACCTTAGCATTAGTGGGTAGTTTTGCGGCAGTAACTATCGACTGGGATACGCCCTACTACCGACACGCTCGTTATCTCTGTACTGCCTCTGACTTCTGCGCCGCCTGGCTCGTCCACAGGCTATTGAGAGGTACTGTCGAGCCGAGGCCGGCTACTCGGGTATACAGAATGTGGACTCCACCAGTCCACGACAGGACGACGTGCAACAGAGCTACTTCCTCGCAGAAACGCTCAAGGTATGTGTTCTAAAGAGGGAGGGAGAATAAGAAGGATGGAAACGTCGAGAGTTGAATGTAGTTACTGTGAGCAATATAGGCATATGGGTGTGTGCGCTGTGTAGATGGCGCTAGGTACCGGATTTGGTGGCATCATTTTGAAACATCGTAGATACTAGAGAGTATTTCTTCTGGGAAAGGGCATGCCACTTTGACACACCATTTCGATAATCTGCTCGCTGTGTTGTTGTATATCAATGCATTTGCTAGTGGTGCAATGTAACTCGCGATAGGAGGCGTCACCATTTTGAGTTCGCCCACGGCAAAAGGATGTGCTCGTGTCTTTTATTATATTGGCGCATCTTTTCTAATATGTTGTCTGTAGATATTCTAATATCCCCAGATATCCCCTACCCGATCGTTCCCAGCTCGCTGGTTGTAGTCTGACCACCACCCTTCCTCCGCAGTACCTGTACCTGCTGTTCAGCGACAACAGCCTGCTGCCGCTTGACCAGTGGGTACTGAACACGGAGGCGCACCCGCTGCCGATCCGCGGCGTCAACCCCTACTACCGGCCGCACGTGGGCGACTAACACCGTGACCAGCTAGCGCCAGTGACCGCCCGCACGGCGGACCAGTCTTCGAAGGGACGTTGAGACGCCCGGAGGTCGATGGGACGGCTCGGGTCGGTCAGACTCACTGTTTGGAAGCGCCTGGGATTGGTAAGACACTTCATCAGGTGTGAGACAAAGTGAGGTTGAAAGTGAGCTTGGTGAGTGTCGTTGGGAGTGAGAGTGAGCCGAATATTGCGACGGACAGACAGAGCCGAGCTTTTGAGAGACGTTGGGAAGCGGCAATGGCGCCGAGACGTGTTCGGAGCCAGTGGACGGGACGCCGGCGGAGCGGGTGGGGTGTGCCTGGGAAGAGCAGGTGAGGGGAGAGTGAGGGGTCTGGCTAGAGAGAGTGAGGGGCTGCTCGCGGTGAGTGGACCCTGTCAGCTCAGTTAAGGGGGTGGCGGTCGGGGCAGAGCTGGCCGGCGGTGCTGATGGGGAGCCAGTGCTGGTTGCTGGGTTTGTGAGCGAGTCACAAGAGACAGATGGAGAGGAGGGGAGGGGAGGGGGCAGAAGGATGGTGTCTTGGTTCGCAGATGGATGTGGCAGACGAGCTGAGCTCTGCTAGCGATGCACGTATGCTTGTGATACTGGACCGAACCCGTAGGTATGTCAGCCCGTGGTCTGGCAGGATTGTAGGTCCGTGTTCCCGAGTTTCATCGGACGGGGTTAAGGGTAGGCGTGGCACCGCTGGCTGCGCATTGCGGGCCATGACGACAGAATGCCGAACGGCAGTAACGATAGTATTGTTCAAGTTTTCCGATACTGAAATCGTGTTTTCCATTGGAGACTAGGTGCGTGTGGCGTTGGCCAATTGTCCTAAGGTCTTACGCTATTATAGATGGTGTTATAGTGATGTGATGTGCTTCTCTATTTAACCCCACTCGTTCTGGGAAAATGGTCTGAAGTAACTGACTACGAGTGTTCTGGTTCGCTCTGAACCGATGTAGAAGTATGTAGCGACCTATCGCCTCGCGATATTGGCTGAATTCCGCGGGACTCTGCTCCCGGAGTCCGCCAGCCGCCTTTACAGGCGATTTGAGCGCTTCGCTGGTGTCCAGCCGTCGTCTCCCCTGTGTTCTGTGCGTGCTGTGGGCGGGACGCAGTGATATTCTAACTACATGTGGTCGCCTTCCGAGGATTTAGCTGTTGTTGACAAGGCGGCGGGCGCGCTCGTGCGCCGCCGCCGCCGCACAGTATATCGTCTCGCGGTGATGTTGGGTGTGTGTTAGACCGACCGGGTCCGTCGATCTGAGCGACGCCAGGTGCTGCGCACCGCGCCGGGCTCCAGCCAGCTCCGACGGCGCTGATAGGTAATTGTTGTTGGAGCACTGTTGGTGTATTGTTTGCACGTAGCGTCGAGCGTCCAGCCGCACGTGGTCACCTGTTTTTATTGCAATAAAACCGTTTTGTCGTGCGGGGAGGCAAGTGTTTCTGTCGTAAGCACTCACTTTTCCTGTTTCGATTCGCTCCGTAGATCTGTACTGACGGGTTTACGCGTTGTTGTTCTCGAGACCGTATTTGGGAGTTGTTTGTAAAAATGTGGATCAGATTATCGTACTGCGTGCTAGATAACTCGAGGGAGTGCAGCAGCTGGGGAGCGATGTCTCTTCATTGCGTCTTGGCGCGTCGTGCTACACTCGATTAACTCGTTCTGTTCACATTGTATTTCGTCGTTGCTCACCCACAACACAGGACCGGCGTCCCGCCGCACCATCACGGGATTACCGTCAGATAGGACAGGACGGTGCCCAGTGGGGCACCTTGTCTGTCGTGCGGTGGGACAGGCCGGGGACTGACCGTCACCAGGGCCACACACACCGCTCGGCCGGCCGGCCCCAGTCAACCCTCAGCTCACAGAAGCACAGCACCAGATCGCTACATACGTCGAACAGCACACAATGCCCTCCGTAGGGGGTAAAACCTCGGTCAAATAATTGTCAAAACTTCTCACTTCCGCCGCCAGACGCAGCTATCAAAGATTTCACTCAGTAAGAGCCGTTCACGCCACTACCTACACAGCTATCATTTCGATCACGTGGCTCTCGCCCTGGCTGCTGACACTTGTAGAGGTCGCGTCAGGGACAAAGGATGGGGACTCGACATGAAATCACCATACCCGGTCACGAACTGCTACGTGAGATACGTGTGGCCCACCGGATGGACTCTGATTTAATATGACGGCGTGATGTGCCGTGTGAACAAAGGGAACGTTACAAAATTGTCGATGCCACTCTGGATCCAGGGCTCGGCAGGCCAACAGGCGAGCGAAGGTGAAAAGCGAACATAGTTTGGGGGGAGGGGGGGGGGGGATAAGTGTAAAATCTCCAGGCCGCACAACAAGAACGAGATATACGATATATCGTAGAATCAAATGGGTCAAATGGGTTTCTCAGCAGATAAATCTCAAGCTCACAATTCTGAAAATACAAACATGTCACCCAAGCCCGTACGCCATTCCAGATAAGGCAACGTTTAATATTTCTAGTTAGACAGTAAATATGCCGTGTTTTACCACATCCAGCGGGCAGTGAACGCGACAAAGCTCGAAGTAACACGCATTGATCATCACAGGGGAGTCGGCCATTGCACAGACTTCGGCGATAGGGCTGGTAAAGCCTGGCAGTGCACACTTGGCACTCAAACAGGCGCTCCTACAAAGCCAACCATTTAAATTAAAAAAAAACATGCGACACACAACCACACAAAGCTCTCAAGCAGATCAGATGCAGTATTATGCATTGGACGGTTCGCTCCTCCCACAAACACCCATTTTGACTGGCAGGTTACAGGTTAGTAGCACACATCTCCACACACAACCGGGCACAAAACAAGACCACTGAAGGCGCGACATCAGCCCACCACGAGACGACTCGTGGCGAAGTATAAAATGGCACAGACTAGCCGGCTAGGCGTGCCCGGCAGCTGGTCCGGGGCACACCTCGCCGGCTCACAGGGTTTACGACTAGTCGGTCATCACTAACGGCGCGGCTGGGCGGACGGGTCGACACCTGGGCGATCGACTCTGGGCGCCATCGATGACCGCGTGACGGGCCGGCATGGGCAGACAGGTCTGTCACGGCCCCTGGCCGCGCTAACCGCCGCCACCGCCCAGCCGCCGGCGCAGTTATCTACATTTATCACTGTCGGCGCGCCACTGGAGCGCAGGAAAGCCGCTGACCGGCCGTCCGTGGGACACTCCGTCCGACACGGCCCGTCACCTCTCGCCCGCCACCGACTGGGAGCCCGCACGGATGGAAGACGCCCAATAGAACCGCAGATACAGTCACAAAGCGATCTGCCTCTTAATATCAGACAGGGACACTCACAGACCTATCACATATCCTGACCAGCTCGAGGAAGCCTTTCGTTTTGCGCTCTCGAAGAGTGCGTTCTGCGTCGTACAGATGATCAGCCGTCGTCACCGGCGGAAGTTTCGGAGTGTCGGGACGTTCAGGGAAGCACGGGCTTGCCGGAGTGTCCTGGACGGGCGCCGCCGGCTCACTGGTAGCCGTTCATTCGTCGGCCCTCCTCCAGCTTGGCGAAGAACGGGTGCCTGCGAACGGACAAACAAGCCGTCACTCAAAGCCACATTGATTCGGATGGAATTAGGTCGTATTGAGCTAGAGCGTTCATACGTCTATGAGCAAATGCCTGGAACTGTTTTACGGTCATGCGTCTTATAGTGACGGCAAAAATGACTACAAAATTTAGGAGCTGCATACGATAAAATGACCTGAGATCTCTTGTAATTGATTGTCACTGTCGAATTGAAAGCAGGAACGTCGTGTGCGCATAACATATGCCGAATACCTATCCCAGACACGGCAACAGCTGAGACCGTCACGTGAGTGTCACATTAACGCAAATGGGCGGCAAAACTCTGCAATTAGGATTACACCAGTAGGCTCTTACTATGTATTTCAGACCCCATGAGACCCTGTTTTTCGGCGATAATTTCTTCAGTTTTTGTCTAATTGGCTTGAAATTTTGACATTAGACATTTCAGCTCAAGCGCCAATTTTCATCAATATGGTCTCTTAACAAAATGTTAATATTTAGAGCACTTGTCGTAGGCTCGTAATGCTAATTAGATTTTGCACCCGGATAGAGGCTCGTTCGCTAGCGCAGCGGATTGGATGGGAGCGCTGGCCAATCACGTTGCGCCGGCCCAACTAAACTCCGCCCACTGGCCGTGACCGCGCTGGGTCTATGCCGGCTCAGTCGGCGGCAGCACCGCGGAGAGGTCGCACGGGGCCGCGCACTGGAAACATACATGGAATCGACAGGAAGTGTCTGAGCGAAAGCCTGCTCTTCATCTGGGGGAGTTGGTAACCGCTTCTCTGTTTTTGATATATCAAGACCGATCCAGCTCAGAATATGAAGAATAATCATAATGAGGATATTAACCTCCCTAGAACCAACCTTAAATAGAGAGCTGAGATATGCACTATCTGAATATCTGAATGAATGTACATTCTAATTCAAGGTAGGTACGTTTTTCGGCTACGAGTCGTTTATTGTTTTCGTTTCGAATTTTCGACCTTCGCATCGAGGTCGTTGTCAAGAAACCTATCCATAGGTTTCTTGACAACGACCTCGATGCGAAGAAACCTATCCATAGGTTTCTTGACAACGACCCCGATGCGAAGAAACCTATACATAGGTTTCTTTACAACGACCTCGATGCGAAGGTCGAAAATTCGAAACGAAAACAATAAACGACTACACCTTTTTAGCCGCGATTTAAAACAGTTGTACTCCATTTTAAAAAAGCTGATCTGTGATTTAAAACTGTTGAACTTGGGTTTAAAACACATGACTTCCTTTTTAAAAGAATTGAATATGATTTTAAAACAACTGACGACGATTTTAAAACAGTTGAATTTATTTTTAAAAGAACTGAACTGCATTTTAAAGTGTAGGTACTAATACAGCATTATCTCATTCATTATCAATGCATTTTGTTGTCATGAAAGCTTATCTAATGCCTTGCCTTTTCTGTTGAAAGTGTAACTAATTTTTGTTTGCCGATGTGTTCTGATTATTGCTTTTGCAATGTTTTTAAAGATAAAAAATCCGTTGTGATACTGGATTGTCAGGAGTGGCTGCGCCGAGCTCTCCGACAGTACCATCAGCCCATGGACAGCATCGCCGTGGTGTGTGACAACGCCCCGGCCCACAACGGCATCGAAACGGTGGCTTCTGAGGCCGAATTCGAGGGACTTGAAATAATCCGAATGGCCCCCTACAGCGCGCCCCTGAACCCGATAGAAGAGTGCTGGTCGGCGTTCAAGGCGGCCATGAAACGGTCCATGGCCGTCACCTTCTGCGACATGCTGAACACGGGCGAGGGGCTCTCGCAGACTGAGCACCGGCTCCGCTACCTGGAGGAGCACATCGACAGAGCCATAACAGCGATAACGCCGGTGTGCTGCCTCAACTGCTACAACCATGTCCAGAGGCACTACGCTGGGTGCATGGCTCTCTTGGACCTATCCATGGGTGTATAAGCTATGCTGTGTACCGGCTAGTGCATGTAGCATGCTCGAAGATATGCAAAGATAGATGCGTCACAAAAGCATGACGATTTTCTATGCAAAGTTACATGTGTACATTGTTTCGAATAATTTCGATGTTAGCTAACGACTGTTAAGCAGGGAAACCACTGACAATGTTATCTGAATGGCCTTGCAATAAATGCAGTGGGATTTTTTATCTTTAAAAACATTGCAAAAAGCAATAATCAGAACACATCGGCAAACAAAAATTAGTTACACTTTCAACAGAAAAGGCAAGGTATTAGATAAGATGCATTAATAATGAATGAGATAATGCTATATTTAGTACACGTTAAAATGCAGTTCAGTTCTTTTAAAAATAAATTCAACTGTTTTAAAATCGTCGTCAGTTGTTTTAAAATCGTATTCAATTCTTTTAAAACGGAAGTCATGTGTTTTAAACCCAAGTTCAACAGTTTTAAATCACAGATCAGCTTTTTTAAAATGGAGTTCAACTGTTTTAAATCGCGGCTAAAAAGGTGTAGTAGCCGAAAAACGTACCTACCTTGAATTAACCCTCGCCCGTAAACGGCGATCTGCCACCTTCGCCCATGCAGGGGGGGGGGGGTTGGTGCGCCCCCCCCTTGGCGTTTGAAAACGGAGCGTCTTAGAGCTTAGCGGAAAAGACCAACGGATTGCTCTCGCCGAGATCTCGCGATTGGTGGCATATTTTTTGGTCCTAGGTCAACATTTGACCTACTTTTGACCGGTCAAAGGTCAAATTTTCGGAAAAATAGACTTTTTTCAACTTTCCGCGGCGATTGCGGCAAAACGGTGGGAGATATCGACTTGAAACCTTCACTATCGTGTTCCTTGATCAATTCTCTATCGTTTGGTATGTATTTCGTTTCCCTAGCTCTAAAAATGGCGCGTTGGGAGCGCCGGAAGTCGGCAAGGTCACAGTCGGCGGCAGAAATTCGAAAAATCAAAATTTAAATTTTTGAAATCTGATTATATTTTTGGATTTGGAAGGTCCATTTGCTCCCTATAGAAGCTAATATTGCTGCATATTCCCATTGAGGTGACAAGAATTAGCAAAATAGTGGTTCGGGCGCTTTTCAAAAATAGTACCGGACGCTGTTCCTCTTGTGACATCATAGCTCCGTGACCTGACCTGACCCGGTCAAGTTTCTTATACCATATGATAGCTAATACTTGCCCCAACATGCATGGGAAGTTTCATCACGATCCATCAACCGATGTCCGTACCACCGGCAGGAAACCTCGGGAGTTGGCACTCAGTTTGTGAAAATCCGGCCGGAGGCTGTTCCCTTTGTGACGTCATAACTCCGTGACCTGACATGACCCGGTCAAATTTTTTTTTATCAAAAGATGCGCAAGGTTTGCCCCATAAGGTACCCAAAATTTGGCGGCGCTGCGCGCCGCCGTTTTTGCACTATTTCCGAAAAACCTCAGGGGGGGGGGGTTGCACCACCCCCCCTACATGGGCGAGGGTTAAGATGTCTAGTCGTAAAACCTTGAAATCATAATGTACATTCTGGCGCCTATCTCATGGTCAGGTCGTGCCACTATTCTGTCACCTATGACAATATGCGAAGCCTCTTCACTATTCGAAAATATCAATATTGGTTGGTTGCGTCAATCGCTGTTTCTGAAGACGCTGTCATACCTATGCAGAAAACAACAGAGTAGGATGATGAGTCGCGAGCACTTCCGATTGCCTAAGACATCGTTCCACGAGCTGTGTTCGTAATTCGGGAAGCGTTGAGAAAGGAGCAGAAATGTGATGAGCGATTTATTGCGTATGGTAGAAATGTGGCATCAGAATAAGCCAAACAAGCGCAAACGCTAGTAAAGAAATCGCGTCTTTTTGTGAAACTAAAGTAACTTTTCAAGCTCTCCAATAGTGAGGCAGTAAGTTACTTACTTACAGGCATTTTAATTACTTGCAGTTCAACACGGAAGCCTGGGGTCATGTCAGTCCGGTGACCTCAATCTAGCCAATTATAAAATGGGTTAGTTCCGAAGGTGTTCATGTTGCACCGCGTTCGCAATCGCATGAATCCATCTCAAGCATACGCATAAGCATAATATATTTCATATTGCAACCACACTTCTTAAATGCTACGGTGTAACTGTTTATCTTGCAAATTTGACGTAGGCTGACCGACGTCTTGCATCAGTTCACAGTCAATAAACATCAACGGCTTTTTTAATGACGTTCAATCAAGCAAAAATGCAGTCACTAGCCCTGAACTTGGTATTAAAGTAGGTATATCTTTATTGATTGACATGGTGTAGGCCAATTTGCGATAAATGCAATAATGAAGGCTATACTCTGTTCCGTTTCAAGCTTGCAGCCGAAGTGCCCTGTTGAAGGCAGTGCGTGATTTCTGTATACCCGGGCAGCGCTTGTCGAACAGCTCTGCGGATCCGAAGGTTGGGACTTTAATTGTGAAAAGCCGCCCGCCCGCCGCAAAACGCAAACACCGCAAAACGCGCAAAACGCACGCCTAAAACGCCAACGCAAACCTCGCAAAAAACAATCGCCCGCCCGCCGAAAACCGCAGAAAAAAACGCACAAAATGCCGCAAAAAAAACGCGCATCCACCGCAAAACACAAACACCGCAAAAAACGCAAACACTGCCGCCGCAAAAAAACGCCCGCATCGCCCGCCGCCAACCGCGAAACGCCGCAAAAACGGCCGCACGCCGCGAACCGCAAAACGCCGCAAAAACGGCCGCCCGCCGCAAACCGCTAAACGCCGCAAAAAACGACCGCCCGCCGCCCGCCGCTAACCGCAAATAACGGCCGGCCGCCGGCAACCGCAAAACGCCGTAAAAAACGGCCGCCCGCCGCAAACCACAAAACGCCGCAAAAAACGGCCGCCCGCCGCAAACCGCAAAACGCCGCAAAAAACGGCCGCCCGCCGCAAACCGCCGCTAAAACGGCTGCCCGCCGCCAAACAGCAAAAACACCCGCATCGCCCGCCCGCCCGCCGCCAAACACAAAAACCGCAAAAAACGCAAACACCGCCGCAAAAAAAAAAACGCCCGCAACGCACGCACGCCCGCCGCCAACCGCAAAACGCCGCAAAAAAAACGGCCGCCCGCCGCCAAACGCAAACACCGCCAAAAACGCATAAACGGCCGCCCGCCGTCAAACGCAAACCCCGAAAAAAAAACGCAAACACCGCCGCAAAAAAAACGCCCGCCGTAGGCAAAACGCTTACACTGACGCATTAAGACAAATATGGCGCCCTGCGGTAAATGTGGTGCATTCATATCTGCCGTTTAAGCAGCCATCCCTTAATTACAGCGCATCCTAATCGACCAATGTTCGACAAAGTTACGCACATTCTGCGCTTTGCGGCAAAAATGGCGCTTTGAGACAAACGTGGCGCACTGCAACAAACATGGCGCATTCGTTCATGTCGCTTAACAATTCATCCACCCACCAAATTCTATCCCAATCGGACTTAAACTGAAAAAGTTATGTACATTTCAATATTTCACTATAAAATATCTCCGCAACGGAGGTGCCCAGATTTGCACGTGTGCCACGTGACCACCGGTGGTGCAAGCAGGACTTGTCCCCTCACTGATTGCACCATTTCAGTGTTCCTGGCTTGTGCTGTTTTCGTGCTATAAGGCCACAAATCGGCAAACACACGATAATCTGGGAGGTACGCGACTCAAACACGTGGCCACGTGGCACGTGCCGGTCCTTTGATAGCTTCACAGTTCACGCCACGTGATGACCCATCGACGTGGCCATCAGCATATAAAAGATGACCCCGGCCGGTGTCACCGTCCCTGAACAGTGGACGGGTAAACTCGAAAAACGGGAAAATTTAGGGAAATTTTACCCTTCGAATATATAATTTCCCCAGAATTTTGAATTTTTCATTTTACAAAAAATCCGAGATAGCAGTTTTTTAGGCCCCTTCATTCTGTGCCTACACCCGTTTTCCGATCGACCCTATCAAAAAAACTGACGGCCTGACGGCCAATTCCCCCATTCCTTGGATTTCACAATGCTAGTATATTTAATCACCAAAATTGACCACGTGCCACGGCACGTGCAATAGCACGTGCGCCACGTGACCACTAGTGCAACAAGCTGTACTCATCTGCTCACCGGCTGCGTTGATTTGGTGTCGCTAGGTGTAGTAGTTTCCACGCCATAGGACCCCCAGTTGGCCAATGTCGGATTTTCCCGGAGGTTACCCCATCAAACACGTTTGCACGTGGCACGTGCTTTTAAATCGCCCCATATCTGACCCATACCATGTAGTAGCCGACACCCCGGTGCACAACATATTGGAACTTTTCCAAAATCTAACGCGGAATTTTTTGGCAAAATTGATTTGAAAATAATTTTTCGAAATCGCCATAGGCTCAGCATGGGGTAACTGTTTGTGACGATTACCCGAAATTTTGTCATTTATATTTTAAGTTTTTACCACCGTCAGTTGGGGTGCCTGCCCGAGATCCGACCCTAAAAATATTAACAAATATAATTGACGAAATTTTTCGCAAATCGAATTTCCAATTTTTCCCCATGTTAACCCTATGGGAAAATGCACGTGCCGATTACCCCAAAACGGGTTAATTATATTTCAAGCGACCGATGCCAGCCGGTAGCTCCCCGATACGGGACCAAACGCTGAAAATAGCAAGAAATTCTACCGTGCCGTTTCGGCGGCGATCAAAATGACCAAAATCGCGGCCGAAACGCTAAACACCCCCCTAGAGAGGTAGCTCAGGTTGGGATTTTCAATAGAAAATCACAATTCTAAAGAATAGTGATTTGTCTTAATTGAAAAGTCCCAACCTTCGGATATGCAGCTCTTACATTTTAAGACGCAAATTCTTGAGCGGAGGAGCGATCTGCTGAAGAAACTCCGACTGCAAGCTTGATATGGAACAGACTATAGTGCGCTAATTACGAGCGCTAGTTTCTGCTGTATCGTTAGTACTGCAACGGTAACCGCAATGCAGCCAGGTCCAATGCGAGCCGCCCCGGTCCGGCATACGGCCTTGGGTCCGGCAGCTACTGCCCCGTCGGCTCCACGCATCCGACTGACCGGCCAAGGTCACCGCTCCGTCAGCCGGGAGGGCGGAGCTTAATGGCCACGTGTCTGTGACGTCACGCCTACGTACGGATAGCCTCTACTCCACTGACGAATTTACGGAGCTGATTTTAACATTACGAGGCAACGACAAGTACCCTAACAATTGATATTTTGTTAAGAGACCATATTAGCGAAAATTGGCGCTTGAGCTGAAATGTGCTTTGCGAAAATTTGAAGACAATTGGATAAATATTAAATAAATTATCGCCGAAAAACAGGGTCTCATGGGGTCTGAAATGCATAGTAGTTCACTGAAAGTATACGTCAGCCATTGTTGCCCAGGCCATAGTATTTAGATGAGATTAGGGAATTGCGGTTCGTTGAACATCACCAAACGCACATTCCTGAGCGATTACAATGCCGCCATAATCTGCCATTGAGGGACAGGACAGACTATTCTGTCCGAGCAGTGACCTCCGCAGCGGCTGATGACGTCACACCGGTACCCGATGACGTCACTCACCGGATGGCGTCACGCAGCGTGATCCGCTGGCTCGGTTCATACTCCAACATCCTCTGGATCAGGTCAAACAGCTGCACGTGCTCCGGGTCAGAGCTCTGCATGTACCGCTGTGGAGACAGGTCAGGTCAGGTCAGGTCAGACAGCTCCGGGTCAGAGCTCTGCATGTACCGCTGGGAAGACAGGTCAGGTCAGGTCAGGTCAGGTCAGACAGCTCCGGGTCAGATCTCTGCATGTACCGCTGTAAAGACAGGTCAGGTCAGGTCAGGTCAGGTCAGACAGCTGCGGGTCAGAGCTCTGCATGTACTGCTGTAAAGACAGGTCAGGTCAGATCAGGTCATGTCAAACAGCTGCACGTGCTCCGGGTCAGAGCTCTGCATGTACCGCTGTGGAGACAGGTCAGATCAGGTCAAACAGCTGCACGTGCTCCGGGTCAGAGCTCTGCATGTACCGCTGTAAAGACAGGTCAGGTCAGATCAGGTCATGTCAAACAGCTCCGGGTCAGAGCTCTGCATGTACCGCTGTAAAGACAGGTCAGGTCAGATCAGGTCATGTCAAACAGCTGCACGTGCTCCGGGTCAGAGCTCTGCATGTACCGCTGTGGAGACAGGTCAGGTCAGGTCAGATCCAGGGGCGGCAGTGAGCGCCCTGATGCAAGCTCGGAGCACCCATGCACTTTACACTCCGCCGCATTGTTTGCACAAGCCAGCGAAAAACCACACAGACCGGCGGTTCTTATCGCATCCTTCTTATCTCACCCGACCACAGTCCACGGCCACGCCATCACCCTGTTTACACTTTCTTATCTCTCCCCCGTTCCAGCACCCCCTCTGCCCTGCCCGGAGCTCTCACCCGGAGCGGTTTGCAGTTCTCTCGGACGTAGCGGGCCGCCGAGCTCTTCTCGTCCCAGTCGAGCCGTCCCCGATAAAAGTACTTGGTCTTGGAGCGCTGGCTCATTCTGCGGAAACACAGGGAAGAGGTCAGTTGATAATGGCGTGAAGGGTAAGCAAGAGTCAGCACGAGGTCGTGTCTATCTTAGATAGATTAGATAGTGTCACAAGTGCCGCCTGCGCACTCCCCTGCGCTGCTTGAGTGAATGACAACGCGAAAAACTCGCTGTAAAACAATGGAAGACCATGACTCGTCGTAGGCATAGGTAAAGGTATCAGTTACCAGTGGCCGCCGGGCTGGTTCAGTTACGCTATCGCGCACACAATGAATCGGAGGTGTGCAGGCGCCGTGCAAAAAGCGATGAATACAAATACACGTGTTTAAATCAGGACACGCACCGTGCACAACGACTAATCCCGTGCCAACACGGTTCGTAAGCCGACGCCAGCTCGGCGGTGCGACATTGGCCCTGGACACGTTCGATGTTCAATAATACATTCACAACACGGAACACGCCTGGTCGAGCACACCATGAGGCGCCTTCCGGTCCCTGAATTCACAGAACCGTGCCGATTTAATTCCTGACGCGCTAAATCCGATCAATCGGCGACCACCGCGGTCTGGGATTGGCCGGGTCGCCAGCCGACACCCCCCCCCCCCCCCCCGGACGCGGTGCACGCCTGACAGCCCCACCTGACGCCTGTGACAGCCGAATCGGGCGGGCCTGACACACTGACATATCTCCGTGTCGTGTCGGCTGCCATGTGCGCCGCCCTCGCCCCTGTCTGCTCTGCACCCCCCCCCCCCCTTCCCCCCGTCTGACTCAGTGCAGACCTGCCCACTCAGCGACCCCGCTGTGATCAATACCGGTCTCACCTGTACGGTATTGGGCCGAGGATACGCTCCATCATGGCCAGATGTTCGCGGTTGTCGTGCGTCTGGAACAGCGTCAGGCCCAGATACAGCTCGAACAGGATGCAGCCAATACTCCAGACGTCGCACGGCTGTGACCAGCCCAGCTCTGAAACGGACAGAGGTCAGGTCAGGTCAGGTCACCGGGCAGGGGCGGTAGGACATCCAGGTCACTTCAGGTCACCGGTCAGGGGAGTTCAGACACCCGGGTCATGTCAGGTCACCGGTCAGAAGCGGTCAAACACCCAGGTCATGCCATGTCACCGGGTTAGGGCGGTCAGACACCGGCACGGATGAACGGGCTACTGAAACCCATGTCACATACGGGGGCTCATGTTGGGTCGCACAACTTCTCCAAGTTTCTACCCTATCACAATTCATATCGCACCGTGGCTAATTCTCATTCAGCATCTGCCGCGTCTCTCTCTCTCTCTCTCTCTCTCTCTCTCTCTCTCTCTCTCTCTCTCTCTCTCTCTCTCTCTCTCTCTCTCTCTCTCTCTCTCTCTCTCTCTCTCTCTCTCTCTCTCTCTCTCTCTCTCTCTCTCTCTCTCTCTCTCTCCTCTCTCTCTCTCTCTCTCTCTCTCTCTCCTCTCTCTCTCTCTCTCTCTCTCTCTCTCTCTCTCTCTCTCTCTCTCTCTCTCTCTCTCTGCTATCCCTCCTCTTTCTCTCGCTCGATCCGTACCTCTCCTGCCCCCCGATCTCCCTTTACATCCTTCATCATTCCATTTGAGCGCCTGCAGCCGCGAGCCTCCCGTTTCTTTATCTCAGAAGCGACGCTGCAGAACCCACAAAGGGGCGGCCTTCCTGTCCCTTTACGACCTCCTCCGAGCAGTGCCGGCGGGGCTGCGTGGCGGATCGGTCTCGATAAAACTCAGTAGCAGCTAGGAGAGGTGTTCTACTCACTGAGCCGCAGCCGGCGCCGGTCCACTGGTCGCAAACAGGAAATGACCGCTGTAAATGCATCGTGGGATAGTGCTTTGAGGACGGTCAGTGTCCCGAGTCGGTCCCGAGTCAGAGGACGGTCGGCGGCCAGACGAGAGTCTGCAGACGGCCAAAAATCCGGTAGAGAAGCGTAGAGACCCGGTAGAGGCACACAATGCTTGGAGCACCCGCGGAGGTATGTAGGGCCTTGCCCGCGGCGCGAACTCGATTGAAGACAGTCCAGTTCAGAGCAGTGATCACACTGTCTGTTACACTGAAGTGCGAACTTCCATAACCCGTAACGATTCCGCTGTTCGGTTTGTTCGTTGTCGGCCGTTGATATTCCCTCTCGTCGCTGATCGATCCAGTTCGAGACAAAGCCTCTGTCACTAATCTGGGAGGCGTTAGGTCGATGAAGGTCGTTCGGGTCAGCTCAGCTCAGGTCAGGTCCGTCAGTTCAGCTCAGATCCGTCAGCTCCCGCCCGGTTCGAGCTCCGGCTGTCTCAGGGGGAGCCGGAGCCGGAGCCACCACCGCCAGATCCGGAGCCGCCGGAGCCACCACCGCTCGGATACCACGTCAGACAGGTTCTCGCCTTGGTCGGCAGCGAGATGGGCTCCCGCTGGTGGTGCCGCACCAGTTCCTCCACCGAGCGGAAGCTCGCCTCGTCCTTCTTGTGGTAGCCGAGCGCAAAGCGTCCGTCGCTGCGCTGCCGGATGTTGAAATTATACACCTGACCGGAGTGTAGCAGCGTGAGCGCGAACGGCGCCGAGGCCCCGCCGCGCTGCGACGGCCGCACCACAAACGCGCCGTTGCCGCGGCGCAGGATCAGGGCGCGCGCGCCGGCCCGGTCGACGGGGTGGAACCAGGCCTGCTCCTGGAGACTGGCCCCGGACGGCGGCGGCGGCAGCGAGCGGCGCACCAGAGGGCTGCGCGCCGGTCCCCACTCGGGACTGAGCGGCTCACGGGGCGGCACCGGCGGCACACCGTCCGGCACCAGGTAGTCGCCCGGCTCCGTGTCGCCGTCCCCGGACGCCGAGCTGGTGTCCGAGCCCGGCTTGGGCGGCCGCGGAGGAGCGGGGCACGGCGGTGCCACCACCGGTGACGGCGCCCTGTCAGAGCCCGGGGCCGGCGCGGGGGCGGGGAGGGTGTCTGCGGTTTTTGCGGCAGACTCTGACGTGTGAGCGGTCCCGTTGCACCGCGGAGAGACGGTGGTCCGAGCGACCCGCGGAGAGCTGCTCCCATTGGTCGACCCATTAGCCACCACCGTCGGCGAGTCTGCCTTCCCGGTTCGTCCGGCATCCGTAACAGCACCGCTCTTGCTGGCAACAGCTGGCGTGCTCTTCCCCACCGCCGGCGACTTCATTACGGGGCCGCCGCGCTCCCCCTCCCTGGCGGGGCGCGGCGCCGGAGCGAATTTAGCTCCTGTGCCGGCGCCGGCGCTGGACGCCGCCGGGGAGCCGGCCCCAGCTGGCCGCCGGAGCTGGACGGACGCGGTCGGCGCCCCGAGGGCGTCCCTCCCCGCGGGGCCAGCTGAGTCAGCGCCGGCAGCCACCCGACGGACGGGACCGGTCGGTGCTGCCCGCGCCAGGCCGTCCAGCACCTCGAACCGCTGCCGCAGCCGCTGTACCGCGCTGCCCGTGCTGTCCTCCATGGCAGGGTCACACGCTGGGCCGGGAGACCGGTACTGTCACACGCTGAGGTCAGGTCAGGGCCTCAACCACTCCCGTCACAGTCCCACACAAAGTTACCCGCTGCTCAGCGTCCTCTCGAGAGCAAGTATCGAGCTACCGACCACTTTCCACACGCTATCTTTCCTCCACTGTTTGACAACACGCGGCGCGCGGGGCCCGCTGCCGCCGCCTCCGCCCGCGCACCGCCGTCTGGCCGCCGGCCCGCCGGCCGCGCCGCCGCGTCGGCCGGCGTCGCTGCCTGCACGTGGCCCCGCCCTCCCCGACGGAGCGGCCACGCGCGCCGACCAGTGACGTCACGGCCCGTGGCGGCGCACGGGTGGTATCGCGTCACGGCGGCTTGTTACCGTCGGGCGGACCAGTCACGTGACCCCCGAATTGGTGGTGACTCATCCGCGCCGGTTAAAGTGGGCGAGGGAGGGGAGGTAGCCAAGGTCGTCGACGGGCTGTATTGATCTGGGGGGGAGGGCGGGCATTGCCCGATGGAGGGCAGGGGCCACCGGCCCGGCAGTAGGGGTATTTATTTATCTGGCAGCGATGACAGGCCGGCGCGGCGCGCAGCTGAGGGCCCGACGCGCCGTCCAAAAATGTTTGGTTTAGCCACCGGCAGACTGCGCCGACCGGAAGGGCCGGATAAGATCAGCGCCGATGTCGACCCTGGTGGCTGACCGGTACCATAACAGCCGCCCTCGCCCTCGTCCGTCGGTGATAGCGCCACTCATGGAACTGCCCTTGGGCGTGACATTCGACGGGTGAGCGATCATTGCCGATGATTCGGCTCCCAGTGTCAGTCGGTCCAATAAACTTCCGTGCGTCACGGCTTCTGGCGATGAGGCTGTTGAACTCGCACCAGTCTGAACAGTGGCGATATATTTTCGGCTGACGGGTGATTTATATCGAACTAAGAGGTACAGTTGGCAGCGCATTATTTCATTATATCCCATCGTTTTTCCTTACACAAGTAGTGCTGTAAGGGCAAAACAAATGCTGAATATCCAAAGAGCAAAGCAAAATAAAATTATGCAAAAAGCTCAGAAGTTCACGCGGTTATTAACCGTTCCGCTATCGTCACATCAGCAAGACGAATTACGAAATAATGCAGAGAATGGCATACAAGTGTATCGTAAATAAGCTCGTGATTACCTAGGTATACCATCACTCACGACGACGAATGATAAGCGATGTACCCAAATGATAAGGACCCTTCAACACTGACCCGAGCCGACTATCCATCTGCTTTAAACCCTAAAATACTATAGAGGAGAAAGTGTTTTGTATTCCGCCTGTTCGCGCCACCGGCCACAGTCGGAGCCCGCTCTCCCTCTCTGGAATGTTGCCTGCTGATCTCCGCCGTGATGACCATTTTACGATATCATTCGATCCATGTTTGGCGGCGGTATGTCCGGTATTGGTGATCAAATGATGAGTATTGCCTTCTAAAATCGCGGGACTAAGGCACACACTGGTCACAACTCTGACTTGGTATGAGGTGAAGGATGCAGCGACTGCTTTCACCGTGCGGGATGAATTTGGACAGGCCAGCTGCCGAACAGGAACGTGAATGGTCAGCCAGGTGCGGACATCTTTTAGGTGTGACTCAGGTAGCCTGACAGGAAGCCTGGCAGCCTCTCAGGTAGTCTCCTCTGGTAGTCTGACAGGTAGTCTGGTAGTCTCTCAGGTAGTCTGACACCTAATTCAATATACCCTGGTCTGACGTGCATCCCCCGCAGGCCCAAGCTGACGCGGCTGACAGTCAGCTACACACACACAGCGCGGAGCTGCACCGTGCAGCTAACAGCTCACCGTCCTAGGGGCATTGTCAGCATTAGCGAGGGCAGAAATCACCCCGCGTGGCAAGACAATGGGGAAGGGTAAGCACAACTGCAAATGCCACTGCACAGCATGTGTCAGGCCCGTAAGTCGAAGCCAAATGAAAGCGAGTCGTCCGTAAAACAGCCGATGTTAACAAATAACCTGCACATTGGCTCCTATTGCTTCTCCCGGTAGTGCCGAGCAAGATTCTTACAGATAGTGCCGAGTACGTCTGCAGTAGTGCCTTGTCCGGTGGTGTCGGTTTCACCTGCTATAGTGTCCAGTAGTGCTGAGTCACTATCCGTACTCACCAAGCAGCACCTCGGGCGCCCGGTAGTGCCGTGTCGACACCACCGTGCTGTGGTGCTCATGGTCGAAGGTGGCACTCCCGAAGTCGATCAGACGAATGTCCGAGCTCCGCACCACGCGTACGTCCCGTTTCTGAGAACAGATAGGACAGCAAGAATAAGAAATGTGGGTCACGTCAAATGGGTAGCATATATCGAGACAAATGTTTAACATTTTCTATCTGATGTCGGTTAGGATCTGGGGCTGTCGGAGGACCGATGTCAGGACAAACTCATCACAGCTCAGAGAGCGGTATACAGCCCGGCTGCAAACTGTGCACGGAACTGGAACCGTACTTTGGTTTTCCGCTACAACGCGGCCGATTTCGCGGACCTTGCAAGTTGCCGACACCAAAACGCACCGCACCAAACAGATCTATCTGCCGCTGTGTGTTCAAAGCAGCCGCATGAGGTCCATCTCTCCGCTATCTTGCTCGCAATCATCGAATCAGAAGCTTCACGATTAGCACAAGCAATGTTTCTCGTGTAGCGGGCTCATTTCCGAGCCCGTATTGCACACGTACTGTACAGGCTGACCTGGATCTGCCTGAGGCGGTGGGACGGGGCAGGAGAGGGGGGTAGCCACTGGCGAAGATTAGTGAGACGGACAGTTTTAGTGGCGGAACTGGGACACGGCTGGCCACATTTGCTCGCAGCATGTGGCCAGAAGTGATGAGCAGTGCCAAGTAAAGCGAGGGCAGTGAAGATTACCGACGCAGGGGTCGCAGCTCGGCTCCGGCAGTGGGACGTGAATGTCAGACAAATGACACACACTTTTCTAGCATACTGCTAGCTTTTGTATGATACACGTGGAACTGAGGAACGCACCTAAATAGGTAGAAATAGCTCAACGAGAGGTGAAATCGATAAGCTGCGTGAACGAAAAAATGTCCAACAGTATCCCATCGCCTACATGGCTTCATGTTCATCATAAGACAACAAGGACTAACCGAACTGCACAATCAACGTTATGTGCATTCTCGCACGCAACTAATAATTCATTGCTGCTAATCTCCCCAGTTTCGTCCGACACCCAGTCCGCCAGCGGCCGTGGCAGCTCCACCCCTCGTTATAGCTCAGTTCGTAACCGGTTCTCGTACTCCACCCATCCACGGTGGCACGTGAGGTGTCAGCCGTCAGCCCGGGGCCGCCCGCTCCCGGGTGCGCGCATCAGCGACCCTCTCACTGGGGCGGCACTCCTGGAGGCGGCGCTTCTTCGTCCCCGGGCTACATCAGATGGGAGGTGCGATTATCTATCCGTGCCCTTCGGTCGTCATCAACCAGCGGCAGCACCTCTAGGCAGTGTACCGCAGATCGGCCATTGCTGTCCTCCCCCGGGCAAAAATGGCATGTCGATCGGGTAAAACGTCCGATCAAGCCCTGCCCGCTGGCCAAGATCAGCCCAACATTCCACAGTGTCGGCACACCAACCCTGTCCACTGGGGATCAGACAGCTTGCTATGTTCACAGGGGATTGGACAACCTGCTGGACAGACCGTACACTGTCCAATCCCAGACCGGAGCTACCGCGCCGAGCCGGGAGAGCTGGGAAGCTGCCCCCCCCCCCCGGCAGCTGCGCCCACTCTCGGCATCCCCCGGAGCTGTTTATTATGATTCGGTGATGCATCGGTCTGGCTGCAGCCGACCCGACCCCGGACCCCGGCTGTCCGTCTCGGGTCGCGCATTCTCCGAAGGCGATGCTCAGGTTTGACAATGAGTGCGCCGTCAGCCACACCTCAGCCACACTCAAAGGTGCACTGGATGCGAGGGTGAGGGGAAATGAATTATGTGCTATTGAAGCACCGTTTCAATCAATACAGGAAAACGACAAAACTTGGTCAAGAGCAGAAGAGCTTGGTCTGACGGGAAACTGAGCCCAATTGAGATAGAACATAGCTATGAACATAGTTCTCACGACGTTAGATATACATAAGTTAGGTTATAGGTATTGCCTTCCTGGACACATTGATCACATCTGTCACACTGCAGCACCATGACTAAAAGTATCTATCTCTGCAAAACGCTAGAGCGCCTGCAAGCACCCAAGGCACGTAAAGCCATTGAGGAGAAAATGAACGGGAAATATTTCTGGCATGTTCGCCCGCATTCCTCTCTCGTAAGCCATGACTCACATATTGCACTACGCCAACTCGGCTATTCAACTATTAATGCTCTCGGTGGGACAGTAGCGGCGGAACACCTTGAATCAAGGGGGGGGGGGGCACTGCCGACTTTTGGTTCCATTCTTTCCATGCAACGCCCATAGGGCTAATGTTAAAATTCCAAAATAAAGGGGGCACGGTGCCCCCTCCCCCCAGCCCCGTTCCGCCGCCTATGCGTTGGGACGAATTTGGCTCGATCGACCTCGGCACGGTTTAGTGGGCGTTGTCTTTTACTCGGAGCGATTTCACTACTGCCCGTTGCCGGCGCCAGCGAGGCGGCAATTTCATGTTACTAGACGGCAGCGGAGAGCGAACCTGACAGACCAGCTCCACCGACTAATGGGTGGGATTTGGGACCTGCAGCGACGCTCTCTATGGCGATGCCTAGTCGGGGTCGCAACGAACAGAGACCGGAAACCGACAGGGCATCTTGCAAATATCAATGCTATTACACTGTTACGCACGAACAGACGGACAGTAGTGCACAGTTTGTACCCGTCCAAATCCTTCCCCGGCGGCAGGACCCACCTTTCTCGGGCTGTAGGTGACGTCGTAGTCGGAGTTGACGAACAGAATGTTCTCCGGTTTGAGGTCGGTGTGCGTCAGCCGCGTGTCGTGCATGAACGCCACGGATCGGCACAGCTGCAGGCCGATGTGGCGCACCTGGGTCAGCGGGTACGGCTGGTAGCTGTTCTCCTTCTGTAGGGGGGAGGACGGGTGTCAGTTCTCCTGTCGGAGGGAGCGTGGGAGTAAGTTCACCCTCTGGCAAGGGGGGCGGGTGTCAGCCTGACGGGCGAACGACGCAGGTTCGAATCTCACCGACACCAACTCGTGTCACTTGGGATGAACTTCAGCGGCCAACACGTAATTTACTGCAGTTTATCGCAGTTTATTATGAACGGTTCGCACAACAGTAGGACGGCTCCACCAGGCACACAAGCGAGCTGAACCGAGCTGCAGGTTCGATAGAATAAAACAAAAAGAAACCTTTCTCAGAACCTCCTTTGCAAGCAGACAAGGCTTATCCATCTCGCAACGGCTACTTCAACGAGATAGCGGCGTCAAAAACCTTGCAATGTTTGCAAACGGTCAGGCGTCACCTCACCAGGCGTAACGTTGCAGAGTGGCGTAATTCAACACATCACAACTGAGATCAACCGTGCAAACGCAGTCAAACGGACCCAGCGGCGAACGCCGACGGCAGGCGGCTGACTGACTGACTGACTGACTGACTGACTGACTGACTGACTGACTGACTGACTGACTGACTGACTGACTGGCTGACTGGCTGACTGACTGACTGACTGACTGACTGACTGACTGACTGACTGACTGACTGACTGACTGACTGACTGACTGACTGACTGACTGATTGACTGGCTGACTCACGCAATCCCTAACTCACTCACTCACTCACTCACTCACTCACTCACTCACTCACTCACTCACTCACTCACTCACTCACTCACTCACTCACTCACTCACCCCGGTTCCCTCCCTCTTACCATGAAATCGAACACGCTGAGTCCGAGTATCTCGAAAGCGATGCAGATGTGTCCGCCGTAGTCAAACCACTCCAACATCAGCACACACCGGCTGCGGGTGACGGAAGGCACATGTTAAACAGAGAGGCTGCTTATTCAGTGACAGCACAAATAAATAATGATGATGATTTGAACCGGTCATCGAGGCGTCCAGTCTGTGCAATAAATAGCGTGACATCATACTAGTGAACTACGACATACCGTGACCATGGCGCCGCTGAATGGTGTGCCAGGTCTGGCTGGGTGTGACATTTATAATAAATATAGCAAACCCTATATGACCTATCCAAAATGGCATACACAATGTCATACTGCAGAATGAAACAATGGCATTTCGAGCACTATATTGCGGTATGCTTGATAAAAGTCACGCATTACTGTTTCCTCAGGCATGTTTAACCCTAGAACGCCTAGGGGGGGGGTTGTATCAACCCCCCCCTGAGGTTTTTTCGAAGTGCACGCTAAACGGCTTGTCGTAGCGGGCTGAAATTTTCAATACCCTCTGGGGCAACCTTTGCGCATCTTTTGCCGAAAAAAAATTGATCGGGTCATGTCAGGTCACGGAGTTATGACGTCATAAGAGGTACAGCCTCCGGCCGGATTTTCACAAACTGAGTGCCAACGCCCGAGGTTTCCTGCCGGTGGTACGGACATCGGTTGATGGATCAAGATGAAACTTCCCATGCATGTTGGGGCAAGTATTGGCTATCATATGGTATAAGAAATTTGACCGGGTCAGGTCAGGTCACGGAGCTATGACGTCACAAGAGGAACAGCGTCCGGTACTATTTTTGAAAAGCGCCCGAACCACTATTTTGCTAATTCTTGTCACCTCAATGGGAATATGCAGCAATATTAGCTTCTATAGGGAGCAAATGGACCTCCCAAATCCAAAAATTCAATCAGATTTCAAAAATTTAAATTTTGATTTTTCGAATTTCTGCCGCCGACTGTGACCTTGCCGACTTCCGGCGCTCCCAACGCGCCATTTTTAGAGCTAGGGAAACGAAATACATACCAAACGATAGAGAATTGATCAAGGAACACGATAGTGAAGGTTTCAAGTCGATATCTCCCACCGTTTTGCCGCAATCGCCGCCGAAAGTTGAAAAAAGTATATTTTTCCGAAAATTTGACCTTTGACCGGTCAAAAGTAGGTCAAATGTTGACCTAGGACCAAAAAATATACCACCAATCGCGAGATCTCGTTGAGAGCAATCCGTTGGTTTTTTCCGCGAAGCTCTACGACCTTCCGTTTCGAAACGCCAGGGGGGGTCGTAACAACCCCCCCCCCCCTGGTCGTTCGTGTTATGAGAAATGGCCTGGTCGTGCGAGGGTTAAGGCGCCACAATATCCACATTCCGGTGTCAGTCTACAACTCACTGCCTGCCGTATGGGTCCTTGTCGTTGAGTTTCTCCAGTACGTTGATCTCCAGCTTGGCTGCCTCGCGGTATTTGTCCACGTTCTTAATCACCTTCAACGCTATCACCCTGTCTCTGAAAGCACAAATGTGGTCAATGGTCAATCACTGCACTGGATGACTGCACAACAGGTTATACTCAGATATATCTCTCTATCAAGACTCCTGCCCTGCCACAATATATGTAAGAACGAATCTGATGTGATGCAGTCCCATTCACGTAGGATTGGGGAGGGACAATGCACGACTCAACTATACGGGAAAAACTGCTAATGAGTTTATGCGTCAATCTGGTAAGCACGACTGGAACGGCAAACAAACAGACCCCACACGGGTTCACTCGCCATTTCATCTAAAGCCACACAGCTGCACACAGGTCACAAAAAGAGTTTTAGCCATCCTCGTTGACAACCGTGACGCAACAGCAGGACTACCACGCACACAGGTGCAAGCGCGACAAAGAACCCCAACAGAGACAGAGACAACAAAGGTGACTGGAAGTCGGATGTTGAGTGCCAGCACTATGGCCTTGCCAGTTGCCAGCACCCAACAAACGCCATCCCGCGTGACGGGTCCGCATAAACGATAACCCACCATATGGCTAGGGCTGGGTGATCAGTGATCACAACAGAAGGCAGCCCCAGCGCCACCTAGGGCACAGTAAGCCTCGGACGGTCTACATGGTACCGAGGCTTCAGCAATAAAAACGAGCAGTGAGAGACACTGGAAGAGAGTGAGCATGCCGATAGACTTACTTTTCGAGATCCTTGACTTTGACGACCTTGCCGAACGTGCCCTCACCGAGCGTGGACAGAATCCGATCTGAAACGAGAGAGGAGTGAGTCAGGGCGGCATACTATAGATTTCAATCCCTGCCGGTAGAGGACCCTACAAACCTGGCCATAGGGATGTTGCAAGGACTCTTTAGTGCCCTCGTCGCAAGTAGAGGTGGCCTGATGATCTATCAATAATTTACATGCACCCAGCCAACAGCATGCCTCCCACCTGTCCTGTCCTCGTTATCCTCATGAGTCAGTTCATCCTTATCACTGATCACACTAGTCACTACCCCGTTCGGGCTGACGCAGGCGGTTATCCCGCCAGACAACCGGTGGATAGCACATCGGAAAGCACCGTAGGTAGGTAGGTGCCTGCAGGTGCTACGCTACTCCTTCGGGGGCCAAGTTGAAGTCCCTTGGATCGAGTGGTTGTATGGCTGGCCAAATGCCTTAGGAACAGTCTCCTCCCCCATGCAGCATGACCTTATAGGTAGCTTCTTCAGTGCAGCTGTCAGGGCCTCGTCTAACATGATAACTGGGGGGGCAATTGCCTCCCCAGTCGAGCGGATTGCCCCCCCAGTGGCCAACATTTGCCCCCCCAGTCAACACGTGAACTTCTCACAAAATTTCCTTCTCTGCAATACGTTTTTGCCAGGAGTCTTACATGGATTTAACGAGAAACATTAAATAATTTGTTCAATAACTGTTCATGGCTACGGGAAAAGCCAGAGTTTCGTGATTTTCAGAGCTGAGAGCGCCAAGTAGCAAATTGTCAATTAGCAGCTGGCCAGTGACCCAACTCGTGTTTGCCCCCCCCCCACACACACACACACTCAGTCAAACGCTCAACACGGATAAGTATGTTTATCACTGTCTGGTGGGACAATGTGAGGGGGCAACACAATGTTAACCCTAGAACGCCTAGGGGGGGGGGGGTTGTATCAACCCCCTCCCCCTGAGGTTTTTTCAAAGTGCACGCTAAACGGCTTGTCGTAGCGGGCTGAAATTTTCAATACTCTCTGGGGCAACCTTTGCGCATCTTTTGCCGAAAAAAATTGATCGGGTCATGTCAGGTCACGGAGTTATGACGTCATAAGAGGTACAGCCTCCGGCCGGATTTTCACAAACTGAGTGCCAACGCCCGAGGTTTCCTGCCGGTGGTACGGACATCGGTTGATGGATCGTGATGAAACTTACCATGCATGTTGGGGCAAGTATTGGCTATCATATGGTATAAGAAATTTGACCGGGTCAGGTCAGGTCACGGAGCTATGACGTCACAAGAGGAACAGCGTCCGGTACTATTTTTGAAAAGCGCCCGAACCACTATTTTGCTAATTCTTGTCACCTCAATGGGAATATGCAGCAATATTAGCTTCTATAGGGAGGAAATGGACCTCCCAAATCCAAAAATACAATCAGATTTCAAAAATTTAAATTTTGATTTTTCGAATTTCTGCCGCCGACTGTGACCTTGCCGACTTCCGGCGCTCCCAACGCGCCATTTTTAGAGCTAGGGAAACGAAATACATACCAAACGATAGAGAAATGATCAAGGAACACGATAGTGAAGGTTTCAAGTCGATATCTCCCACCGTTTTGCCGCAATCGCCGCCGAAAGTTGAAAAAAGTCTATTTTTCCGAAAATTTGACCTTTGACCGGTCAAAAGTAGGTCAAATGTTGACCTAGGACCAAAAAATATACCACCAATCGCGAGATCTCGTTGAGAGCAATCCGTTGGTTTTTTCCGCTAAGCTCTACGACCTTCCGTTTCGAAACGCCAGGGGGGGGGTCGTAACAACCCCCCCCCCCCCTGGTCGTTCGTGTTATGAGAAATGGCCTGGTCGTGCGAGGGTTAACCCGCGCCGGGCCGGTGCACTATGGGTCCGATGCAGGAATTAGCACGCCAAAAATGATAACTGCCATTTAATGGCTGCTTTTACATCAGAGATGAAAGCCAGAACATCCGAAATGGATTTTGCGTGATTTCTAAACATGTAGGAACCGTGTGACATGTGATATGTGACGTGTGTACCTACAGGGTGTCCCAGAATTACCCGGACATTTATTTTCTGGCTAAAAGTACGATTGCGCTCGATTCTAATGATATACAAGCATCATGCTTTTATAAGATATCCCTTAGCTATCGAGCTTGGGGACTGTGTGCTTTTGGTGACCGGTAACGACTCGAGTCAAGTATTATCCAGAGTCAAGTAAGAGTAGTACTTTTCCGTTTTCAGCTTAAGCCACTAATAGGCAACCATGGTGAATCAACTCCCGTTTTCAACTTTGTAAACGGACTTTCGGCATGGTTTTTGCTGGAGAGCTTCAGCAGCTCATCTGCAAGCAGTTAGGATTGAGCAAAGCGCAATTATATCAGCTAACGAAGCCAGAGAGAGCAAGAGATAAACCTGATTGACAAGCTTGGGCTCGGCCAAAAAGGGCCATGCACCAGTTGTCAAACGGGTGGTTGCTTGTCATGGACAACAAACGTCACTGGACACTGATCTAGCTAAAAACTAGCTAAACGATAGATCAGGATTATCTAAAGAACATCAGTCTACTTTCCACCACTATCTTCGCAAAATTTTGGAATTTGGGCCTTGGGGTCCCTCGCCTGAAAAATATGCGAAAACTACGGGAAAAGCAGCGAAAATCACTACAATTCACCCCAAAAATATAATATATACAACCAAAAATTAAATTGAAGCACACACTTTGTGGTCTAACGAAGGTATTCTGTCATTTGAACCGCCCGAAAAAGGCGTGTGTGAACGTCAGATGACTACAACGCCCCAACAGCAGAGACGGCCAGGCACCCGTCGAAAATCAAATTGTGAGACATTTTGAGCCACCGTGCACTCATTGGGCTTGATATGATGGCCCAAAGACAACCGTTAGCACAGAGTACTACTGCGGTAATATTCTACCACTAAAAAAACTGGATGCCGTAAGCCAAATGGCCATGAACGGGTTTGTTTTGGAAACCAAATCTGTTGGAAGCCAAAGGTCCTGCCATGTTCAGACATCACTGAAAAAAGTTTTTACCATCAATTTACTAAGTTACTAGCTTTGGTAAATTTTACCATCAGCCTACCATCATATTACTACCAGCCTACTATGGTGCTGAATACTATCCTGCCTTGACATGTTGATATTACCATGGTTACGTTTATCAGGGGTGGTTTTGTACCCCAGTTTACAAGGTGGTAACCACCTGAGGCTAGTAGATACCCTCGTAAGCTAATATTCCCTACCATAGTAAAATCAACCTTTCCACGGGCGGATCCAGCAGGTGAATTCGGCGATCAAGTCTCCTCCTTTCCATAGAGGTGTTTGCCAATTTTTGATATGTTGGAAGGAGCGTCATCCAAGGACTAGCTGAGACCCTGAGCAATTAATAGTTTTATGGACGAAAGGCCAGAAATTTCTTGCAACAGTTCCCTGGGTGTGCTTCTGCTGCTATGGTAAGGTATACCATGGCAACACCATGACAACACTACACCCTTACTAACAATCCACGTGCGTCTGACTCTGCTGCAGCGGCGCCGCCATGTCAGTTCCGGCCGCGCGCCGGCGTTGTGAAGGTGCTCCGTGGTTTTAAATATTTGAACGGTGATTGTGTGGGTGGTTAGCGTAGCTGACGGTGGAGGATACTCGGAAATAACAAGTAAGTCGTTGTATCTTCAGCATAATAATACTTATCTCACGAGTGCCATTTCCAGCAAAGATCGCAGCCTTTGTTTCGGTTCATGTTGTTGAATTTCCTTGAGACCCTGTTGGACCGGGTAGGGGGAGGGTGGTGGGGTGGGTATCATTGCGGGCATTTCCCAGCGTCGGAAATCAACGTGTTTTTTTATTTGTTAACCCACGCCTCACTGGGGTATGTGCTCTAACGCGCCCCACAGCACGTTACAGCACGTTACAGTGGGGGGGGGGGGGGGGCTCCTAACTCCGAAACTACTGGGCCGATTGTCAAAATTCAAACGGCCCCTGGTAGCCCTGGAAATATTGTTGAGCGAAGCCTAATGTCATTGACCTCGAGGTCATCGATGACGTCACAGGTCAGGTCAAAGTAAAAATATCAGCGTCTTGGCACTCTGGGCGCCGGCCAACAAATCAGATCAGGCTCATTTTTTGTTTGCACACTCGTGAATATATGCGTAACATAACCTGAGGGTACCGAACTTGTACTTCGAATTTTTCAGGTCAAGGCCATCTCATCCCAGGTCACGAAAGCTTTATATCGTGCATCGGTGACGTGAGACATGTTTTATGGTTCATGTAGGCCATATATATCGAAATCAGTGTTGTATGTGTCAGTTTAGGCCATTTTAGCTGAATATAGCTGAGGTCAGGTCAGGTCACTTTAGGTCAAAAATGGTCAAATTTTGAAGTTGACATTTTTCAACAAAAAAGGTGTTTGTCAGATGAAGTTCACATATATTCAACGCATATGTGTTCAAACACATATAGACCCCGTTTCCATGGGCATCACTGATCCGGATCAGCAAACTTAAATCGTATTATATTTCTCGAACTCTTCGTTACATGATATAATTCCAAGTGGATTAGGCTTATATAATCAGTTAATCCCTTATTTTCATTTTCATATATTGTCTAACTATACTGGATTAGCTAATCCATTTTTACTGATCCGGATCAGTGATGCCCATGGAAACGTGGTCATATTCTGCTTTTTTTCATTCAGAAACGTATATGTAAAAAAATAAAAAATACAATTTCTGAGTTTTTATATTTATAATTTTCAAAATATTCAACATTTCGAAAGTCCGAAATCAGTTTGGTAGCCCTGTAGAGTCCACCCATGCAAAAAAAGGATCTAGCTTAACCCTCAAAAAAAAAATGCCCCCCCCCCTCAGGTGGGGGGGGGGGGCATTTTTTGCATCCATCTTTAGTTTTTTTCGATATATCTCCAGAACCGCTGCGCCGATCTTCACCAAACTTTCAGTACCCTTTTGCACATTGTGACCAATTTTTTTTCCAAAGGCTATGATAAGTTGGCCGCTACGTCGGAGTGA